TTTTATGCGGCTTTTTTCACCATACATATTACGTAATTAAAGATAATTAAGTCGCTGATTAAGCAAAACAAAAATCCCTGACACAGTTCCCTCCGTAAATGAATTTCCTTTCATGTGCTTTAAACCCGCATGTTAATTGCTTGATTATTAAAAAAGTTATGCCCGATTCAAAGTTAGTCCGACCCGCATCAAACGAAGTGTCATAAATCGGCTGTTCTCTCTTCGGACCCTACGTTTCACGCTAGATAATTGCATAATACACAAATATCGCACCAGAGAGGGTCACAAAGTTGTGGTAACATACTCTAACAAATTTTATGACCAGTGGCATCTGACCAATTAAAAAGCTGTTGATTAATATCAGTTTTATAGCCGAAAATTCTTCAATTCTTAACGTGATTTACGATCCGTCTGGTATCTGTCGCACATGTCACGTGACTATCGGTAAAAATTTGAGGCACTCAGTGGGGGAAATGGAACGCATTTTGCGCACCGCTAGCGGGGTATTAATTAAATTGTTTCCTTTTTGAAGTTTATTATTATTATCATCAGCATTATTATTGTATTATACCAGTGTCACTCACTCTGCCTGTGTATTCGTGTATGAAATTCTGTTAAAATATAAAATTAAAATAACAAAAAAACTGAGCTTCTGACAGTCTATTAAAGTCCATGGTAAATGTACAAATAAGAACGGGATATTATATATTTTTTCCACCAAATTGATGATGCTTCACATATTTTAATAGAAATAATAGGTATTACTCGATCATTATGATCTGGCCTTCTTGACTTCTATTTTGAATATCATCTATGCACGGCATAGAGATCCAGTTTCTACCGGGATAGACAATAAATTTCATACTTTGTCCCAGATTTATTAGTACTGTGTCCGATTTACTGGCGAACAATTTATTTTCACTGAGAATATGTTTTAACATCTTTTTTATAGAGAAATAATCATCCTTAGACAATCTAAAATGGTTTAGAAATTTGTCAGGGACACCTTACCACAATTCATATATAGGCGTTCACATAAAAAATGTTGTCTAGTTTTTTGTTGTTGTTTTACTTCACATTGTTAGAAAAACTAGGTTGAATGTAAGTAAGCCCTTGAATCTGTACAAAAGTCTATAACTCAATTAATATATAATCAGATTAACGGGGCAGACAAATTTATTTTCACACATTATGGATATTTTTTAGCAACTACATTTTTAATCGACCCCGTGGTCGTGCGATTTGCCGCTATGCTTAATTATTTATGTTCAATATATTATGTTACGTACATTGGCCTACACTTTCTTAATTTATAAAAAAGGCTAAATGTTTAGATATTCATAAAAGATGTACGGTAGTTGTACGATACATGTATTACGAGAAGTATGGACCAGTATGGACCTGTAATTCACGGATATATGGAACTACCGATTTCCCTCATTGATGCCTCAACAGGGGGCGGAGCGTTATCGATAATCGACAGGTTACGCGAATAGCAGATACAAATAGTATAGGTACCGTTTTAAAACGTTTAAAAACACATTTTTTGGACTAACTGCTTCCAAAATTAAATCACGAATGTGTTCAGAAAAGGTTGATAAATCTTCTTAGCAAAAAATCTCATTTTAGGTATTTTCAGTGATAATTGACTCCGTTGTCACCTTAAGAATTTGTATAAACACAAAAGATATGACTAGAATGAAAATTATTACCCGATTTGTGTGTTTGTATGAGATAATAAGTCAAGGTTTCTATCACTTGTACCTACTATACATTTTAGTAGGGTATAAATTACTTATAATTATGCAAATATGTAACAATATCAAATTATAGTTATATATTATGGTCTTAGAACAGCCCGAAACCCTCAAATATCCCTTAAAAAATATTATTTAAGAAATTAATTTTACTTTCAAAAAGTAAACATATATTCTAACTTGATAGATAAAAGATATTCTTAACTTTCAAGTTATTGCAAAAGTAATCTATCTTAAAATAGAATAGTTTTGCACAAGATTTAGAAATCAAAGGGACATATTTTATAGTGTTAAAGTATTCTAACTCAAGATAGAATAGTTTTGCACAATAAATATTCTGGAAAAAGTAGCTTTTCTAGTGCAATACTAGGCTATGTTAGCATGTAGGCAATAAAATGTATATTTTACACTTTTCTTGAAAAAATGAACATGTACACAACTTACATCTATTTTTTGATAAGGTTGGTTGTGAATTTTTTTTCAAAAAATGAAATCAAAATAAAATAACATATTTTTTCCCTTTCCTGAAAATTTTTCAAAATACAAGTTAGAATAGTCTTGCGCCGAGCCCTCGAGCTTTACTATGACACCATTATAACTAGGAACCATGGGTTCAAGCTCTACTATGAAACCACTATAACCAGAAACTATGGGTTCAAGTCCTACTATGACACCACCATAACCAGAAATCATGGGTTCAAGCCCTATTATGACACCACTTTAACCAGGAACCATGGGTTCAAGCCCTACTATGACACCACTATAACCAAGAACCATGGGTTCAAGCCCTACTATGACACCATTATAATTAGGAACCATGGGTTCTATTTCTACTGTGACACCACTATAACCAGAAACCATGGTTTTAAGCCCTACTATGACACCATTATAATTAGGAACCATGGGTTCAATTTCTACTATGACACCACTATAACCAGAAACCATGGGTTCAAGCCCTACTATGATACTATGTACATGACTATGTTTCCCCATATGAACACAAGAACTTGTTTATGCCATGATATGCGAGAGTGGTTGAAATGTATTCAAATATTCTGACCACATGGTCAAACCACACGGTGTAATGTACTTATAATATAGGACTTAAATGACTACTTAAAAGTCATATTATACAAACAATATAATCAAGGACCATGGGTTCATAGCCTACTATGACATCACTGTTACCAAGAACCATGTGTCCATGTCCTACTTTAACACCACTATTAGTAAGAACCATGGGTTCAAGTCCTACTATGATACCACTATAACCAAGAACTATGGGTTCGGGCCCAACTATAACACCACTATAACCAGGAACAGTAGTTTCATTAATGGCCTACTATAACAACACTATAACCAAGAACCATGGGTTCAAGCCCTACTATGACTCCACTATAACCAGGAACCATGGGTTCTAGCCTTACTATAACACCACTATAACTAGGAACCATGGGTTCTAGCTCTACTATGACACCACAAAAACCAGAAACCATGGGTTCAAGTCCTACTATGACACCACTATAACTAGGAACCATGGGTTCTAGCTTTACTATGACACCATTATAACTAGGAACCATGGGTTCAAGCCCTACTATGACACCACTATAACTAGGAACCATTTGTTCTAGCCCTACTATGACACCACTATAACCAGGAACCATGGGATTTAAGCCCTACTTTGACACCACTATAACCAGGAACCACGGGTTCTAGCCCTACAATGACACCACTATAACCAGGAACCATGAGTTCTAGCCCTACTATAACACCACTAAAACCAAGAACCATGGGTTCTAGCCCTACTAATCCACCACTATAACTAGGAACCATGGGTTCTAGCTCTACTATGACAACACTATAACCAGAAACCAAGGATTCAAGCCCTACTATAACACTATGTACATGACTATGTTTCCCCATATGACAACACTAGAACTTGTTAATGCCAGGATATGCGAGAGTGGTTGAAATGTATGCAGATAGTCTGACCACATGGTCAAACCACACGGTGTAATGTACTTGTGATATACATGTCGGACTTAAATGACTTGTAATATTTCGGAAGTAGAAGAAATGCATGACTTGTTACTCCAGCCAGCTCTAAATGAACATATTACTGTCTGACTTATATCAAACTATATAACTTAATAATTCTCCTCTCAATTGTATATATTAATCTATATACCTTGTATATTTTATATATGATATCTTTTATATGATTTTAATGTTTTAAATGTAATATAAATGTATTATAATTATTAACTTTATTATATGCACAATGTAAGATTTCAGGACTGAACTATTTATCTTTACTCTGTTGTTTTTTTCTTGCTATTTTTGTCGCTGTTTAAGTGGGTGTTTGCAAATCTTTCTGTTGTTTTTTTTTTTTAGCTCACCTGAAAATAAAAGTGCTCAGAGTTGAGATTTTCGATGGCAGGATGTCCATTGTTAATCATCTTCTAATATCCACATTCATTTTACCTTTAACCTTGTTGAGATAAATTTTTAACAAACTTCATAGGCTTCTTATCAAGGTCTATGTTTCCCCTTCCAAATTTGGAACTCTGTTTACTTTAATATGTGTAATCAAAACTTGTCTCTAAATGACATTGAATGTGATCCTGTGACTTGCTTTATGACCTTTTCTGACAAGTGATATCAGGTGGGTGATTCAAGGCCATTATAGCTTTCTTTTTTATGCATTTATTCCTAAAAATTGAGGAAATGAATTCATTAAAAACTTCAGAAGTCTTATTGTAAAGGGTGCTTGTAATTAGAAATTAAGCCCACCTGTTGAAATTTTCAATTAAATTTCTGTATTTTAGTGACACAAATAAATGAAATTACTGTGTTGATAAAGTGTAATTGGGATTGAGTATAATGAGTTTTAAGGTATGCTTTGAGCAAATAACTTTGGAATGATTCACATATGCTCAAATCATTGGTCACAATCTAAGTGAATTAAGTGTGCATTTAGGATATAATCTTGGTCTAGAAAAAAACAACAGAAATTAAAGTGAAATTGTATTTCTAGAAAGCAGTAGATATTATGATCTATACGTTATTTATTTAAAACATTGTTCATCCAAAAAAAAATACATTTGAGGGTTTAGTGGGTGTGATGTACACATACAAAAAATTAACATAATTTTGATAATTTAGAGTATACAATTTAAAGGTTACACCTTTTTTAAATGAATAGAACATTGATATTATTTATTGTAAACTTATAATTTTCAGGCAGTGAGAATTTGACAGAGTTAGAAACACCGAAGAGAGCGACCAGCATTCCAAAAGATTTGTCTTCGGTCGCAGGTCCGACTCCCAGCAAGTTGACTCAGCTCCAGAGACCGGCAAGTAAGGAAAAACTTGCGGAGAAAACATCCCCCGCAAATGATGCAAAGCCGAAAAAAACACCACCTAAACCAGAACCTGAAGTTTCCAAGGTAAAATTTTATACAGTATGATTTAGTGCATGAACATTTTGTCTTGAACTTAAATAATGATTATGCACAAGTTATTTGTAACCTTTGCTCCTTAACTTCTGTAGGGAAAATAAAGATTTTGTCCAGCAATTTCTTAATCAAATTCATTCCCTTTGAGTTTGATAAGGATAAGGAATCCCCACCAATAACCTAAGTTTAGCAGTTGGGCGGTATCCCTATTATACTACTAAAAATTGAAATGAAAATCAGAATGTCAATGTTGCAGTACTGGACACATGTAAGGCAAAATTACACCATGTTTTACCCTGCTATCTCCTTTATCTATCTTTGAATAGCGGAGCTGGGGTTACAAATGACTGATGCATTGATGTTTGATAATATTTGAGCCGTGTCACGACAAAACCAAGATAGTGCGTTTGCGACCAGCATGGATCCAGACCAGCCTGATCATCCGCGCAGTCTGATCAGGATCCATGCTGTTCGCTATCAGTTTCTCTACTTGTTATAGGGTCTGTATGCGAACAGCATGGATCCTGATCAGACTGTGCGGATGCGCAGGCTGGTCTGGATCCATGCTGGTCGCATGCCCATTATGTTGGTTTTGTCGTGGCGCGACTCAAATTTTGTCTTAATTTCTTATTTAAAAATAACAAATTTTATAGCATGTTAGCAATTTAATTTCAAATAACTAAATTTTGGGTTATTTTATTGATAACCTGAGTTTAATAATGCAATAAATAGAAAGAGCCTTAGATATAAAGTTGCGTAGCAATTTATAGCCTTTAGAATCATATCACATTGCTTTGACTTAACTCCTTTATTCTGTTCGATATATAGAGGATGGATCTTGAATGAGTGTAGGTTCAATACGGAATATATTGAACGAGTTGAATAAAATGATATTATGCAAACCTGTGGCGAGCATGATATTGATTTATTCAACGAGTTCAATAAATTTAGTAATGAAGCTACACATTTATAATGTTCTTTTTGTCACATGTCCGAAATAAGAACTGTTTACAGTAAAAAGAATCTCTTTTTAAATCTCTTTTTAATTGACATGCTTATTTTGCAATGCTCAACATTCAGTTTCTGTATGGCCCAAATTATGTCATGTCAAAATAAATAAATAAATACAATTCCATGCAATGCTGTTTTACAGAGTCACAAAATCGGCATGGTTAAGTGATAACCATATTTCTATTATTAAAACATTTTTAAAGCAAAGTAAAAATGTTTTATTTCTTATTATATTTTGTAAATTTTAAAAGAATCTTTTCTGATTTACAGACTTTTTGGTGTATTTAACAAAATCAGTTTTGATTGTTTTTGTTTTTTTTTGTCTTTGCATATTAGCTTAAATTAGTTTTGTCATAGCAAAAATAAATATCTTTTAAATTAGTTGCAAAAGGATCAAAGAAATTCTCTTTTAAAGTTTTAACCATTAATAAAATTATGTCTTTAATCAAATTACTTTTTAACAAGATAATTGTGTTCTCTTTAAATTTTACCTCTGACATAATTATTATTCCTTTAAATTTTAATTCTGACATAATTATGATTCCTTTAAAAATTACTTCAAGCATAATTATGATTTCTTTAAAGTTTACCTCTGACATAATTATGAATCCTTTAAATTTTACTTCTGACATAAATATTATTCCTTTAAATTTAAATTCTGACATAATTGTGATTCCTTTAAATTTTACTTCTGACTAAGTTATGATTCCTTTAAATTTTACAGAACTGACATAAATATATTTTCTTTAAATTTTACTGCTTAATCAAAAATGCTTTTAGAAGAAATATAATATCAAGAGATAAAAGTTTTAAAAAAAAATCATATTTTTTCAAGTTAATTTACATTTAAACAGATATCAGTTGGTAGAAAAAGGCAAAGTCATTTAATGAAGTTTAAACCTAAGCCAGTGCAGGTTTGTTTAAAAAAAAAAGGAGAGAGAAAAATTGGTTCCCTGCATGTAAGGGGCTAGTATGAAGTGCAAGCAGGAACAACATACCAGGAATTATATGCTTATTAAAGAATGGAGGTGGATGAGGAGTTAAAACCCCTTAGTTGCTATGGTTACCAATAATTGAATAATTGTTCATTCTTGGTGCACTTGCTTTGTCTTGATAGGGTTTGTAAGGAAGTTACTTAGCTAGCTTACAGAATGTCAGTGGCTGTATTTAGGTGCCTGATCCTAAATATATTAAAATATAGAGGAGCACTTAAAATCTGCTACTATGGTTGAATTTGGAATGTCACCATATGACCTTGATAAAGGGTGTATGAAATGATGGCATTGAGCATTAAGCCCAAAGAAATACTTGAATCAGCTACAGAAATGTTCAGTGTTTTGGATGCAATTCAATAAAATTTCAAGAAATTTTGGAAGATATAATAGAACTTCTCTAAAGCATCCAAAGTGTAAAAGGATTGTGTTGCAGGTTGTATGGGATATAGAGGATCAAATGTCTGATGGCTCCGCCCATATGTCTAGCTCTGACAATTCCTCAGACTCTGACAATGCCTCGGACTCAGAGGATGGCGGTCTAGTGTTAGATACTGATCTAGCCACCAGGATGAAAGTATATTCATCTCCTTACATTTTCAGCCTTCTCAGAGCCCATTTTTCTCAGCACAGCTGACCCTTGCAGCTCAGGTCTTAGGTCATCATATCCTTCCATTTTTCCTTTGCACACAGGGTTTTCATACTTCATGAATCCATTACTATTCATTGTGTATTATGTGTGTGTTTATCGTTTTTCTTTTTTTTTTTTACATTTTCAGCATTGCAAAATTAAGACACCAATTACAACATTATATAAGTTAATTTAAAATAACTAGTAGCAAAAAAAAAAATATATTTTCTTGTATGTAAATCTATACAGATGCAGACATGGACATGTAAAATGCTTTTCAAATCACAATAATTAGATTAAAAACTTCAATAATGTAAAACATTAATTTCTTTGACTATATCAAGTTGAACTTTAGTCTTAACATGTTTTTAAGAACTTTAAAAATATTAGTTGATACATATTGATCATTACCCAGAGCTTCAAAACCCTTTAGACATATATTCACCAACAAAGAGCTTATCAGGTTTTAACCCCAACTCCCTGAGACACAAAGAAAATCCCCTGTCAGAAATCTGATTTTCTCAGACTTACATACTTGTACCCTAAAAATAAATACATATTCATATACTATTTAAACCTTATGTGCCACACTGTCATGTCAATTGTTCTTATTCTAGCTGTAAGCAGTGAAAACTTATTTTGTGTAAACCAGTCTAAAATTTATCAATATTGTCTTCTGATTGGATGAATGGTTACATTCAAATTTGAAATTGACCAATGACAAGATAGCTGCTCTAGACTGGATTGCAAAATTAGTTTATTGACTTTGCCAGCACCTTTAATGCAGGCTTTGGTGCAGAAAAGATGAAGTGAATCCTTTTGTGCAAGTTCCCTTTGTGTCTGTGAGGTGGAGGTATAATGTCCAGTCATTTAAAAAAAAAATTTTATTAAAAAACATAAACTTAAGAATCTATAATGATTGCATGTTAAAAATGAAAGAAAAAATTATTAAAGAAATTGGTCAGCACTAGTAACAATATATTCAAATATTTTTTAGATATTCAAATGTAGTTTTTAGCTCGACTATTCGGTGTCGGCATCTGCGTCGGCGTAACCACTTATGTTAAAGTTTTTGTAATAGTTCAAATATTTTCAAAGTCCATTGACATATGGCTTTGAAACTTTGCACACTTGTTCACCATCATTACCCCAACCTGTAAACAGGAGGAGGTAACTGTATCAAGCATTTTGACAGAATTCATGATGCCCCTTTTTCGACTTAGAATTTACGTTAAAGTTTTTGTAATAGTTCAAATATTTTCAAAGTCCATTGACATATGGCTTTGAAACTTTGCACACTTGTTCACCATCATTACCCAAACCTGTAGACAGGAGGAGGTAATTGTATCGAGCATTTTTTTTACTATCAAGCACTAAGAATAGTCGAGCGTTGCTGTCCTACTGACAGCTCTTGTTTGATATTTTGTCTTTAAAAAGTAGGTAAGTAAGTGAAAATATCATTAAGAATGAAATGTTAATATAATAGTGACATTTTGTTCTTTATTTACTTTAATTATTTCGTCGAATGTATTTATAAATCTTGTAATAACAATTTCTTACTGATTCCAAAACAGAGTTAAATATGACTGTGTGATTTAAGTTTTTATAGATTTAAGAATTTAAGACTACAATTAAGTCAACCGCCTTATGAATTATGAAGATAATAAACATCATACATTGTCCTTTGCCATGAGGCTAATTAGGACCTGTTCTTTGTTGGTGCAACATAAAAGCAACCAAAAAGAAATGATCAGGACATAATATATAAGGTGTTTTTTTTCCATCCAATTATTTTTAGCTCACCTGTCAATAAGTGACAGGGTGAGCTTTTGTGATCGCTTTTCGTCCAGCGTCCGTCAGTAAACTTTTACTTTAAATGACATCTCCTCATAAACCACTAAGCCAATTTCATCCAAACTTCACAGGAATGTTCCTTTGGTGGTCACCTTTAAAAATTGTTCAAAGAATTTAATTCCATGCAGAACTCTGGTTGCCATGGCAACCGAAAGAAAAAACTTTAATATCTTCTTTTAAAAATCATAAGAGCTAGAGCTTAGATATTTGGCATGAAACATCTTCTAGTGGGTGTCTACCAAGTTTGTTCAAATAAAAGCCCTGGGGTCAAAATTGGCCCCGCCCCGGGGGGTCATTGATTTTCCCTATATGCATATAGTAAAAACTTAAAAAATCTTCTTTTAAAGAACCCAAAGAGCTAGAGCTAAGATATTTAGCATGAAACATGTTCCAATGGGTGTCTACCAAGTTTGTTCAAATAAAAGCCCTGGGGTCAAAATTAGCCCCGCCCCGGGGAGTCATTGATTTTCCCTATATATGCATATAGTAAAAACTTAAAAAATCTTCTTTTAAAGAACTCAAAGAGCTATGGCTAAGATATTGAGCATCAAACATGTTCTAATAGGTGTCTACCAAGTTTGTTCAAATAAAAGCCCTGGGGTCAAAATTGGCCCTGCCCCAGGGGGCCATTGATTTTCCCAATATGCATATAGTAAAAACTTAAAAAATCTTCTTTTAAAGAACCCAAAGAGTTAGAGCTAAGATATTTAGCATGAAACATGTTCTAATAAGTGTCTACCAAGTTTGTTCAAATAAAAGCCCTGGGGTCAAAATTGGCCCTGCCCTGGGGGGTCATTGATTTTCCCTATATGCATATAGTAAAAACTTAAAAAATCTTCTTTTAAAGAACTCAAAGAGCTATGGCTAAGATATTTGGCATCAAACATGTTCTAATAGGTGTCTACCAAGTTTGTTCAAATAAAAGCCCTGGGGTCAAAATTGGCCCCGCCCCGGGGGTCATTGATTTTCCTTATATGTGTATAGCAAAAACTTAAAATCTTCTTTGAAAAAACCCAAATATCTAGAGTTAAGATATTAAGCATGAAACATCTTTTAGTGAGTGCCTACAAAGTTTGTTCAAATAAAAGACCTGGGGTGAAAATTGGCCCCGCCCCGGGGGTCATTGATTTTCCTTATATGTGTATAGCAAAAACTTAAAATCTTCTTTGAAAAAACCCAAATATCTAAAGTTTAGATATTAAGCATGAAACATCTTCTAGTTAGTGTCTACAAAGTTTGTTCAAATAAAAGCCCTGGGGTCAAAACTGGCCCGGCCCCAGGGGTGTCATTGTTTTTAACTATATGTGTATAGTAAAAACTTTAAAAAAAATCTTCTTTTAAAAAGCCCAATGAGCTAGAGCTTAGATGTTTAGCATGAAACATCTTCTTATGGGTGTCTACCAAGTTTGTGCAAATAAAAGCCCTTGGGTTAAAATTTGCCCTGCAACGTAGGGGGGATGGGGGGGGGTCCTATATACAGGTGAGCGACCTCAGGGCCATCATGGCCCTCTTGTTATTTAAAGTGTTTCATGCAGCAATATTTAAAGAAGTTGTGTTTATTACATCTTTGTACATACTTAGTGTTGGGTTATTAAATGAAACTTTCAATCAGTACAACGTACTTTACTGAAAAAAAAAATTGCCAACTTTTATCACTCTTTATGAAAAACAAATAACTAACAGAAATTTTATTAACTACATTATCTGCAGGCTTCAGCTACTGACCTCAGCACGTTGGCCTCTAATATTGACACTCAGATGACCAATCTACAACAACAACAGGAAATAGAAGGTCTGAAAGCAGAAGTGAAAGATTTGAATGAGAAACTTGATACCCTGAAGATCAAGAGAGCTGAGGATAAAGTCAAACTAAAAGAAGGGGAAAAACTCAAGATTCAACTCCAGCAGGTAAAGTTGTCTCCCTTTGTTTCAAAAGGGACATTTGTTTTTAGCTCACCTGTCACAAAGTGACAGGGTGAGCTTTTGTGATCGCTTTTCGTCCGGCGTCCGTCCGTCCGTCCATCGTCCGTCCGTCGTCCGTCGTCCGTCCGTAAACTTTTGCTTTAAATGACATCTCCTTATAAACCACTGAGCTAATTTCATCCAAACTTCACAGGAATGTTCCTTTGGTGGTCACCTTTAAAAATTGTTCAAAGAATTTAATTCCATGTAGAACTCTGGTTGCCATGGCAACCGAAAGAAAAATCTTTAAATATCTTCTTTTAAACACCCCAAGAGCTAGAGCTTAGATATTTGGCATGAAACATCTTCTAGTAAGCGTCTACCAAGTTTGTTCAAATAAAAGCCCTGGGGTCAAAATTGGCCCCGCCCAAGGGGGTCATTGATTTTCCCTATATGCATATAGTAAAAACTTAAAAAATCTTCTTTTAAAGAACCATAAGAGCTAGAGCTTAGATATTTGGCATGAAACATCTTCTAGTGAGTGTCTACCAAGTTTGTTCAAATAAAAGCCCTGGGGTCAAAATTGGCCCCGCCCCGGGGGGTCATTGATTTTCCCTATATGCATATAGTAAAAACTTAAAAAATCTTCTTTTAAAGAACCGTAAGAGCTAGAGCTTAGATATTAAGCATGAAACATCTTCTAGTAAATGTCTACCAAGTTTGTTCAAATAAAAGCCCTACGGTCAAAATTGGCCCCGCCCCAGGGGGTCATTGATTTTCCCAATATGCATATAGTAAAAACTTAAAAAATCTTCTTTTAAATAACCCAAAGAGCTAGAGCTAAGATATTAAGCATGAAACATCTTCTTGTGAGTGTCTACCAAGTTTGTTCAAATTAAAGCCCTGTGGTCAAAATTGGCCCCACCCCGGGGGGTCATTGATTTTCCCTATATGCATATAGTAAAAACTTAAAAAATCTTCTTTTAAAGAACCCAAAGAGCTAGAGCTTAGATATTTGGCATGAAACATCTTCTAGTGAATGTCTACCAAGTTTGTTCAAATAAAAGCCCTTGGGTCAAAATTGACCCCGCCCCAGGGGGTCATTGATTTTCCCTATATGTATATAGTAAAAACTTAAAAAATCTTCTTTTAAAGAACCCAAAGAGCTAGAGCTAAGATATTTAGCATGAAACATCTTCTAATAAGTGTTTACCAAGTTTGTTCAAATAAAAGCCCTGGGGTCAAAATTGGCCCCGCCCCAGGGGGTCATTGATTTTCCCTATATGCATATAGTAAAAACTTAAAAAATTCTCTTTTAAAGAACCCAAAGAGCTAGAGCTAAGATATAAAGCATGAAACATCTTCTAGTGAGTGTCTACCAAGTTTGTTCAAATTAAAGCTCTGTGGTCAAAATTGGCCCCACCCCGGGGGGTCATTGATTTTCCCTAAAAGCCCCGAGGTCAAAATTGGCCCCGCCCCAGGGGGTCATAGATTTTCCCTATATGCATATAGTAAAAACTTAAAAAATCTAAACTCAAAAGAGCTAGAGCTAAGATATTTAGCATGAAACATGTTCTAATTGGTGTCTACCAAGTATGTTCAAATAAAAGCCCTGGGGTCAAAACTGGCCCCGCCCGGGTGGGGGGGGGTCATTGATTTTCCTTATATGTGTATAGCAAAAACTTAAAAAATCTTCTTTTGAAAAAACCCAAATAGCTAGAGTTTAGATATTAAGCATGAAACATCTTTAAGTAAATATCTACAAAGTTTGTTCAAATAAAAGCCCTGGGGTCAAAACTGGCCCTGCCCCAGGGGTGTCATTGTTTTTAACTATATGTGTATAGTAAAAACCTTAAAAATCTTCTTTTAAAAAACCCAATGAGCTAGAAATTAGAGTTTAGCATGAAACTTCTTCTTATGGGTGTCTACCAAGTCTGTTCAAATAAACAAATAAAAGCCCTTGGGTAAAAATTGGCCCGGGGGTGGGGGGGGGCCTATATACAGGTGAGCGACCTCAGGGCCATCATGGCCCTCTTGTCTTTTGAAAAGACAGGTTTGGTTGTTTCCCTTGATCTCACTTTTTACAGGTTAAGCATGATTGTCTTTATGGTTTTGTTGCCATGAATGAGTAAAAATCAGTTCATTTTTTGTCTAAAATGTATAGGTTTGCCATTCATATTTTTAAAACTTAACATTTCCTAATGTTAAAGAACCATTACATGTATGGTATTTCTGCTTAAAATGGTAATTGTTTTGTAACCGGTATGTAGACCTTTAGTAAAAAAAAATTTAAAAAAAAATTATTGTTTTAAGAAATATTTTAAATTTGTATATATGAATGACATATGTTGTATGTAAATTATATTTTCTAGTTACAAGAGTATAAGACGAAGATGCAGGAGAGTAATGCAGATTTACAGAGACAGCTCCAGGCTGCTAAAAAGGTACATATGTTTATCATACAAACTGTTCCATTCTCAAGCATTTTATCATGTATCAAGATTCTTAAGTCTTATACAGGAGATATTCAACTTATGGGAATATTCATACTCTGTGATATTCATTGGTCCTCTGTGATATTGGTCCCCTTTGAAATTCATACTCTTTAATATTAGTTCCCTTTGATATTCATACTCTTTAATAGTAGTTCCCTTTGATATTGCTGCCTGTGATATTGGTTCCCTTTAAAATTCAATACTTGGTGATATTGGTCCCCTGTGAGATTGGTCCCCTTTGAAATTCATGCTCTGTAATATTGGTTCCCTTCGATATTGCTCCCTGTGATATTGGTTCCCGTTGAAATTCAATACTCAGTGATATTGGTCCCCTCTGAAATTCATACTTGTTGATATTGGTCCCCTGTGATATTGATTCCCTTTAAAATTCATTCTCTGTGATATTGTTGGTCCTTTATCATAATGATTGTATTCTAAGAAATAGGATGTATTACTTTGATCCTCGTAACAGTTTGTGCTTTTAGTCAGTTAGATATTTGCAGGCTAACTGATTTCAGTCACTATAATGCTATGAGATCTGAGGTATTGTATGCTTTTACTAAAATTATAATGTAATGTAACGGTCCCTCAGTGCTGTGTAATGTATCTTTATTGGTTCCCTGTGATATTGAACTTATGTGATATTCATAAGCTGAAGTTATATTGGTCTCCGGTAATATTCAACCCAATGTAGCGTAAGTCCCTAATATAATGAAAATATACACTAAAAATCTGTATTGAAGCCATAATAACTGACTGCCACACTTTTCATCACTGTGAGTTTGACTTCAAAGCAAGCTATTTAGCTAGCCTACAGTAGGTGTTCTCAAGAACCTGCTTTAGTCTTAAGGTGTTACTACAGTTGAAAATCTGGAAATGCACCATGTGACCTGTTACAGTGTAGGTTTTATGTGAAACAAATGCCTAAACATAATTTAAAAAATTCAAAAAGATATACTGTACAACATTGCCTTTAAGACAGTGAATGTTGCTGACTATGTAATAGCTATACATGTACATGAATGTTTTATTTTACAGGAAGCTAGAGATCATCTTGACAGTTTTGAACAGTACAAGGAGGAGATGTCTGATCTTGCTGAAACTGTTGAGATTGCTACACTTGATAAAGAGATGGCCGAGGAAAAGGTATGTGGTTGATGTACTGTATCTAACATGCTGGTTTTGTTACAGTTTATATTAATATTACATGTTATCTGTACTTATTTCATAGAATTTCAATTAAAACTTGCTTTCAGGTGTCAATTCAGATTTTTGCAAAGTCCTGTTTTGCAACAGTTTCATTTAAGATAGGCTTGTCTTGTTTATTTTGTGGTTCAGTAATAGATATGGTTTTAGCAAACTTCATTTGCATTTGATTTTGGTCTTTTATAATAGTCTCTGTACAAATACTTAACACTGAATGGCAATAAATGAACATTTAAAAGTTGTGATGTCACATTACACTGTGACGTCACAAACATTCACAGTTTGCACATATGGTAGCAACATTTGTATTGTTTGAATGTAATTGTTGGTTAAGGATAGAGGCTTTTGCGTTTGGTTAAATGGTAAACTTTGTTAATTTTAAAGTGTTATTTTGTTTGTATTAGTGTTGTATATAAGCCACAAACATGTGTTTGTCATGAACAGAATTTACTGTATTACAGTGCGAGACGTTGCAGCAAGAATTAGAACAGTATAAAGAGAAATGTGAAGAGCTTCAAGTAGACCTGGAAATATTGAAGAATGAAATTAGTGATAAAGGTACTTGTTTCATTAATTTACTGTTAACCCTGATAATATTAAAACTGATTAGTCTTTGGCCCTAGTATAGAGCCCGGCCAGCAGGCACATTCATGCAGTCTGATCAGGCTCAATACTGGTGTCTGACCATTTTCCGATATCCCTGTCATTGACTATGTACTGCTTAGCAAGTGCATTAAACAAATTTAATTAGGTTAAGGGTAGCTTTATGTGCTAAAAGATAGGGCTGTGTTTCATAGAATGTCCTAAGTCTGAAATCAAGGCTTAAGACCAAAACTGAGATAAATTTGTGTTTCAAAGAAAATGTCCTAATTAATGACAATCTTTTAATTTCTGAATAGCAATGCTAATGGGCATTTATTAAATGCAAATAAAAGGGTCTGTCATTATATTTCTTAACTTTTCTTAGGAGAATGAAATTATTTATAGTCTATAGTATTTGACTGAAGATAAAAATGTTTATTGAAATGGTCTTAAGTTAGTTCTAAAGTTGGTTTTATGTCCTAGGACTTAGGTAACACTTAGCACTTTCTATGAAACGCAGCCCAGACCCTTTGTTAAACTCCTAAAAGTTTGTTTTGTAATATTTGTATGTCATTTTCATGATTTATTTGACATGGAAGATCAAGGGTCAGAATATTCATTTCTGTCCATTTATAGATTTTTATATGCTTGACAAGCAAATTTAAGATTTAATTTTTTTTCTGACTTTATTGTTTACTATCAGAGCTGTTATTCAATATTTGTCATTAAGTCACCAGAGTGGTGCACAAAATTAAGAAACTGTAGTATTTTTTTGACACCAGCTTGTCCATTGACAGACCACTATTTGAGATTGGTAATTGTATTTATTTATATTTTCGAATATTTTTCTAGGATCAGAGGGTGTGGCCACTGATTACACTGTTAAACAGCTGAATCAGCAGATTGATAGATTAAAGGAAGCTTTAGTTAAGTAAGTACAACAACATTAAATGAATTGCCCATAAAGTAAGTACACCAATTTTAAAAGAATTGCCTGTATTCATGTGCAAATCTTATGACCACTCCACAAAATAGATAAGCAGCTTTATCTATTTATGTAGAAATCATTAAATACAGTCAAACGTGTATTAAGCGACCGCGCAAGGTAAACACCCAAAACGGTCGCTTAAAGAAACGGTCTCGTAAGACAAAGCATGATATAAAAGTCAAAATTTATAAATGACATCTTTCTTTTTGCGGTGGGAATGTTTTTCAACTTCATTTTTATAAATGTTCAATGATTAGTATGCTCCGATAATCTAAATGGATGCTAATGTAAAATCTAGTTTTCTGATATTTATTGACAAAACAATTTTGATACATTATGTACATGTTTGACATTTTTCCAGAATTTTTTAATTTCTCCGTTGTTTTTCCTTGTATCCAACACGAAAACCCTATTAGTGAAGGTGTTTTCTGTTGTGCATTTTCTCATTTGAAATAAACAAACTACATCTAATTGTTACGATTCATTTAATTGCTGATCAAGTTCAAGGTCAATTCAATGCAGTCTAAATGTCAACAAGCGAAGTGTATACACCATCTAGGTAGGGGCGGAGCGTTGCATTGTTTATTCGATATTATTGGATAATACACGTCACGCGTATACTTAACTTCATTTGCATACACTAAAACGGTCTGGGAAATAGAGGTTTTCACACATTTATTTGTTGTGTTTTGATTGTTGACACTTGTGGTATTACCAGATGGCGTTCTTTAAAAACACAATTACTTGACAGGTAAAAGTGGTCGTTTAATGAAAAGATTTATCTCAATTAGCTTACTAAGTAGCGGTCGCTGGTCGCGTTGAGCAAAAGTTGCTTAATACATTAAAGATATAGACAGAAAATGATCGGGGGGAATTTAAAGTGGTTGTTTAAGACAAAAGTCGCTTAATACATGTGGTCGCATGGGCAAGTTAGACTGTAAAGAGTTGTTATGATACTTTTTTGAAATTTGTTTCACATCAAAGAACTATTATTTGAAATTTTTTTTTGTCCAGAAAACGAAAAAAAAAATTTGTGGCTTCATACAAGATTTGTAAAATTAAATGAATATATGACTAGTTAGAAAGAATAAGTTTCTTCAGTTATATTTTATGTATAACCAGAATGATAACATGTCTTAACTTAAAATCTCAAAGGTGATATTTCAAGTGCAAAGTTTAAATATTTGGTATAATTTTTTTGTCGGGATTCATTTGATAACAAAACATGGCTTTTAAATTATTTGTCTGACCTGACTATATATAAACTGTATGTTGTCAATTTTAGTACTTTGACATTGAAATCACCTATACATTCAAGGGACTGTACATTCAAATTCAATTAAGAGAAGTCCATTACACAAATTTAGCTGTGTCCAGTTAGCTTACAGAATTTACATTTAGCTTGCAAAATGTCTACAACATTCGGTCGTTCTATTTGTATGCACATTTGCGTCTGAAATAATGCACTGAGTGGCATCCAAGGTCTTCCTCCACTAGTAAAGCTAGAAAGTCACCATATGACATTATACTGTTGGTGCGACATAAAACCAAATAATAAAAAAATATCTAAAGGGTTAAGTATCTTAGATTAAACAAGGTCGTTATTGTTATTACTAGGATGCGTGACTTATCCAACACTGAGAAACACGAGAATCAGAAGTTAACCAAGCAGAACGAGGCAATGACCACGGAGATCAAACAGCTGAAGAAAGATAAAGACCGGTTGGCGGCCGACGTTTCAGCACTGAATGAGCAGGTGATTGAACTTCAGGAGCAGGTAGATTGTGCCCTCGGTGCGGAGGAAATGGTGGAGAAACTGACGGAACAAAACCTGACACTAGAGGAGCAGATGCAGGAGTTGCAAGATGAGAAAACTGATCTGGTAATAAAATCAGAATGTTTGATATTATTATAACCAATGTTAGTTATACAAGTGCTCTTAATACATTTTCATGAGGATCTAATTTGTGGTTTATAATTTCCATGATTTGTTATAAACAGAAGTGAGTGGTAGTATAATTGAAGTTATTTTTAGCACAATATTTTATGAGTTATTGATGAAGTAATTGAATAAGCAATTGAATGAGTGAGATATACATGTACTATTAGGTATATATTTTATTTATTCATGCAATGGCTAATCGTGAAAAAATGTTTATTCAGATAAAAAATATTTTGGCTTACACAGATTGTAATTATAGTCCTTGTAGTCTGTCTGATGTTTGGTATATTTCATGATAAGTAAAACCACAGGCAGGATTTATTCCGCTTCTAAACTTCTTTACGATAAGTTAGCAAGGGTGTAACGGTTTACCAGTATACCGATATATTGCAAGCGGCCATGTAAATTACATAAGTGGCCCAGCTGTGAATGTTCATGGGCGTTTAGTTTTTTTTATCAAATTGTTTGACACTTTACTTTCTATTTAGTCCTTTCTACTAAGAATATTATATACATATGATAATAACATATAATGTTACACCATCTTTACATCAAAACATATACACCACAATACGTATTGCAATATATTGCAATACGCTTTTGCAAAATGGCAATATATTGCAATATGGTTTTTGCCGTATTGTTACACCCCTATAAGTCATGGTCAGATGGCCAAAGTTGATAAATTGTTTGCTCATGTAATAAAGTTATATTCTGTTCTTAGGAAGCGATGAATGAAATGAATGAAGAACTGCAGGAGAATGCAAGAGTTACGGAACTTGAATTACGGGAAGAAGTTGACCTTTCTAATGCCAAGACTTTAGAGGTATAATTCTTATTTTTTAAGGGATTTTAAATATATAAAAAAAAGAAAAAAAAGAGCTACCAATGGTATTGAGTCTCGGCCATCTTGTGTTCTTCCTCATTATGTCAACGAATGACAATATTCATGTTGAAATTAATTTTTCCACAAAAATTTCTTGAGTTTTGTCACAATATAATTTAAGTTTGCAAATATTTGAATAATCTTTACTTACATTAGAGCAATTGAGCTTCATGTAAAAAAAATGTTATCATTTATAATGTTTGTTTTTCACCAATATCCAAGTGCGTTTGAACCACATAATTATACTTTAACAGCGAAATTATATTTTGATAATGAAAATATATTTTGACAATGCTTCATGAAAATAACAAAATTTTTATTCACCATGTTATTTCAGTAATGTACATTTCTTCAGTACACATCTTTGAGTGTGGCTTTAAAATAAATCAAATTTCACCTATACATAATTATGTAGAATATAATTTTCCTCTTTTTTTTTTCAGGCTGTTAGAAAATTGGAGGCCACCCAAGAATCGATGTCTGATTATGAAAAAACTATTACCAAGTTCAGAGATTTAGTCGCCCAGTTACAGGTCAGTAATGTTTAAAATAACCAGAACATTTTATTTTCCAGACAACAAAGTATCAATTAAGTGTAGTCTTTTTTTCGAAAGTTTTAAATCAAAGTCAATAAAATATTTTGACATTTGCATTAAGTTAATAAATAATTTCAGCTCAGTTTTAACTTACTTTTCCTAAACACACTTTAATTTATTGATTGATAAAAGCACTTAATGTGATGCTATTTTTCATAGACTGTTTGTTTTTTTTTTTGTTAAAGGTTACAGGTGATCAAAGTCAAGGCCACAGAGGCTAAATATAGATTTTTCAAATCTTTTTTTATCATATTATGATTGTGTTTGAACCTTTTTTAAAGCCACATTGGAATGCATCTATTTGTGTTATCAAATATTCTTGTCATGACCTTGTTACAGGACACTATCAGAGAGTTAAAGAGCAAGTCCGAGACGGAAACAAAGGCCGAGTCTCCACAGATCGAGATGTTTGATTTCAAGACGAAGTTTGCCGAGTCGAAAGCATTTGCCAAGACCATCGATATGGAGTTAAGAAAACTGGACGTGACCCAGGCCAACATGCATGTGCAGTTGTTACAGTCTTTCATGGCTGAGTCATTCCTGAGAAGAGGCAGTAAGTACATTGGTGTTAAATGTTAGAATAATTTGTAGAAAATATATGATTTGATTAAAATTATGTTGTAAAAGTGAAGTATCTAAAAATTGTATGAGTATAGTTAAATATTTTTGTGATCTTTATGAATTCAAAATATTAGTGGCAATAATTGTAAACCTATGCAACCAATGTGGCTTCAGGTCTGCATTCTATTCTGTGCTGCAAAGCTATTGGTTGTTCTTTTTCATATACAGCAGTACATGTTATTGTGTGCATAACTGTAGAGTAGTTTTTGACTGTTGTGAATTTACATAATTACCACATTATTGAGTTTCTTGTTATATCATCAAGCACAAAGAAACATCCAGCAGGCTGTCTGACTGACAATTTTATTAATTCTTTTTGAGAAATAAACTAGGATTTCCTTTTCTTTTGGTGTTTATTAATTCAAGTTTTGTCTAAATGTTTTATAGACATATAAAGAAATCTTTCAACAGTATATTGACTTACATTTATATATATCTTGTAGGTGACCATGATGCTTTGCTTGTGTTATTGATGGTTCCCCGTATAATCAGCAAAGCTGAGCTTCTAGCTACCCAGATCAGAGACAAGGTAAATCCTTAAAGAAATTATTGGAACTTAACTTTTCCACTCATGTGTGTACCTGAATGCATGGAGGGGCACCTGTGGTCACTTTCAATCAGAAAAGCTGGAAAGTTGCCATATGATCTTAACAGTGTTAATGCTAGCAATTACAAGCTGATCTGACTGAATTTTAGTATTTTGACAGGGAGGTTTTGAAAGAACCAATGTACTGTTTCCAAGTTCTATAAAATTTAGACAAAAAGATAATTTTTAGATTTTCTGTTTCAAGCCTAAGTTGTTTTGATCACTGTGTCTTCATTGTCAGTCTTGTGCAAAAACTTTAATGTAGCCCATTATTTAAACATTTAAAAGGCATTTCTACTAAACTTTGAGTACTATATAATCATTGTAAGACGTAGTTTTAAGACAGGGGGCATAAACTGAAAGCAGTATTTTAGGAGTTATGCCCCGTTTTAACTTTGGATTTTTGTCAAAATTACCTAATAATGTAGAATGATTTTAAAACTATAGAAGGGATCAGCATAAAATTTGTAATACTTAATAGTCATTACAAGGTACAGTTGTAAGACAAGGGACATTATTCCAGATGAAATAGTTTATAAATTATGCCCCTTTTTAAATTAGAGTTTTTATGAAAATTTTTAAGACTGACTAAATTTTGTTATCACTGAAGATTGTTCACTCCATGCAGTGCTCTTGTTAGACTTTATTGTTTTGAAATCACTTTTATTTTTGTTTTAGTATGAAATGATGACAACTTTTGACCGTGCTACAGTGTTGAAGTCACACAAGGCAGAGCAGTCGAGTTTTGCCAACCACATGATCATGATGTTAAACCTTCTACAGAGTGTGATGAGACAGTATGAAAGGTTAGAGTTACCTCCCTTGTTCAATCTTACTATATTAGGTAGCTTTTCAGGTCTATAAAAGATTGTTTGTTCCGAAGGTCCCAAGTGAATTCTTAAAGATCCACATTGAGTTGTTTTAAGTCTATCAATCTACATTAGCTGCTGGGTATCTTCCCTATTACTTGACAATCTTGTTTTAAATACAAAACAAAAACAAAACAAAAAACCACTAAGTAATTCACATTCTTCTGGGCTATTTGTTATAGATAAGTCATAACTGCATGTAGATGCTTCCAGTTTTATGTTAAAATATTTTTAGGCAATTTGATTAAAAGGATTAGCAAACCTGACATTTGATAAACATGGAGATATTGTCAAAAATACCAATTTTTGAAGGCATTTTGGTCCAGAATCTATCATATGGTTTTATTATGGTGTAAAATTTTGATTGTCCCAATTGACAGATATAAGTTTTCCCAATTTACTAAGTGATGAAATTGAATTCAGACAAATTCTCTTGCATATTACCTTTTTTTTTATAAAAGGACATTTATACAACTCGACCAGACCTACATGTACATATAGATTGTTATCATTTATCATTTTGTACACAATTATTCCCATGTAGAGAAGTTACAGAAGCTGAAATGTTTAAGATATATTAACATTACACTTCAGCCTCATTAAAACGCTCATGTTGGGGTCCAATGTCTCAACACCGCGTTCTAACGAGGCTCTCATTAGAACGCTCATTGCGAAATTACCGCATTACCCCACCCACTGCATATATATATTTAACGCTGATTTTTTTACTTACTGTTCAATGAATATCGACATTATCTTTTTCTAAAACCATTCAATGATGTAAACATATATTATATTCACAAATAATACTAATTATATTTAAAAGAAAGGAAAAACTTTCGAAAGAAAATTATAAATCATGAATGTAGTGTAAAACAGGTAGCCATTACTGTAATGACGTTTTATTAACTAGGGGGACACAACTAAAGCTGGACTGTAAATGACACTGTAATTTACAGTCCAGCTTTAGTTGTGTCCCCTAGTAAATCAAACGCCAATTACCACCTGTCATGGCCGCTCTATTTACAGTGCAGGATTTTAAATTGATTTTGGGCTTGTGGGTTATTTAATTCAGCGAGGTTTACATGTCAAATATATGTGTGTGAATTTTAGTTTATTTATACTCACCACCGAATGCCAATGTAACAGTTATGAAATGAATTTGAGATTTTGGAAACAATTTGATGCATGACTGATGGACAGGTAAAACAACAAAAGAGCGGATAAACGCTTACCTGGGCATGTTTTTTCACACCCTTTGGCGAATCATAAATGTCCTAATAACAAATTGTTTATTGTACTTGGATCTATCAAATTGAGCAAGCGTTATAGCGCGCTATAAATCTAAGTCTACTTAAAAAAAAAATTTTTTTTTGGGGGGGGGGGGGTTTTTTTTTTTGTTTGTTTTTTGGGAGCCAAGGTCTATGAGCGCTCTACTGAGATTAGCGTTATAGTGAAGAGCGAGTTATCGAGGCTACAGTGTAAAAGTAAAAAAAATTTTGTAAATTTACAGTGCTTTGAAGACATGCAGTGTCGATCTGTTCTTGAAGGTGGGGACATTGTTGCCTGAAATGGCAGCTCATGAAAAATCACTGGACTACTTTATCGATCTTCTTCGCAAAGATCAGGTAAATTTTTAGCCACCTTCAGACTGTGTTCCTGTAATTATTCCGTAAATATCAACTTACATGTATGTCAAGAAATAGTATAATAAATCCTATTCAGCTCTGGCCTTTTTCAAATATTTTTTTTTGTAAAACGTATATTAAGTACGTTTTTGTCTCGTGGGATGGTGTTATTCACAGTGACATCATTTTTTCAGAAAATACCAATATTGCGACTGATTGTCTTTCCAATACTGTGAAATCATTTGTATTCGTGGGCATGAAATTTCGTGGTTTTATCAAAACTGGCATTTTCATGGGTTCTTAAATTCGTGGATTTTCATTTTCTTGTGAAAAAAAAAGCAATGGAAAGTAATATTTCACTTAATCACCGCGCTGTGTTGCTTACCGCGTGTATATAACACAGCTTTTGTCAATGAATTTAATCCTTGCCTCTAGGAGTAACACAGTTACTGCCGATAATTATCAGCATTTCACACGTTTGTGTGACATGATATGCAGCTCAATTGGTAACACTGCCCCTATAATTCGCCAATGTAAACACCGCCTAAATTATTACGATTATCTGCCACTTTAACCAGCGAATCGGTCCAAAACTACACACTACGTTCACATCGACTGTGTAAATTTATATGCATATAAATTAATCAGAATAAGTGCCTAAATACAGTTAGATATGTATGTGTGTATCTAGTAAAAAGACGACGGCTTCTTTGATTATTTTCGGAGATAGCCAGTCACATACCAATTTCATATTGAAATTTATTTAAAATGGATAATATAAACACTAGTCGTGTAAAGTTTTATAGGTGCTATTTAATGCACTGGTTCCCATATTTACTCGATTATGCAAAGTATTCTAGCTAATACAATCAAGTAGCCTATAAGCGATCAAGTACTAGTAGTCCCCCGGATATTTATATGGCTAAGCAGCGAACGGCTCGATCATTTTTTTTTTTAACATCGCATGTGGCTCGAGTCTCGGCCGCTATCAGACAGCAAATTGTAAGCAGATAAACAATCGATTTTTTTTCAAGTTCTTTAAATTTTGCAAAACTTAATTAAAATTTTTATGGATCTAATTTGTCACTGACCTGATTATTAGTTATACATTCAAACATGTACCACAAGATCCGCCGGAAAAAGAAGCGCCGACGCATGTTGTGATAAATGGAACAGAGAAATGGTAAAAAGTATTTGTTGAGATAAAATTTCGTCGGGTCTTAAATTCGTGGATTGACCTATCCACGAAAACCACGAAAATTCGTGCCCCACGAATAATAATGATTTCACAGTATATGTTTACAATACACGTGATTTTTAAATTTGAATTCTCTCTTTATTTCTGTATGCTCGTCCTGAGATTGATTGACTTTCTAAAGCATACTCATGATACATGCAACTTTCAAATTGAATGCTTTGTTGATTAAGGCATTTATCTATTTATAGATTTTACTATAATTGGAAAAAACTGAAATGTTTTAGATTTAGATATTAAAAGATATAATTAGGTGAATGTAAATTTATTTAATTTCTTTCCTTAAAAAGCAAAATTGTTGAAAATTATAAGAGCCTTTTTGAAAGCTTGAAATAATTATGAAAAATTGTTTGAAAGACTTTCTATTTCCAAATCAAGAATTTTTTAGAAAATTTAGTTTTTTTAAAAAATGTTTCTATGTTAGTATTATTTAAAAAATACAAATTTTTTTTTTCAATGACAAGGGCTGAAACTGAATACTTTACCTATTCTAAGTTAGAGTAAATACCCCAGTCTGTACCATAGATTTCTCTTATGTTTTTTATCTGGATCCAGCCAAAACGTTTTTAAATTTAATCCCATTTTATTAAGATAAGGGGTGTTTTAAAAATTAAAAAATTAACAAACAAAATGAACCAGAAATTTGTTTTGTTTCTTTCAGCTTGATGAAACAACTTTTGTTGAATTTTTGGGACAAGCTATCAACTTCTTCCAGGAAAAATTTAACTTCTGACCTTTGACCCTCTGCCCTTGACCTAATAAAAATGTAAAGTACTCAGGACAAAATTTTTCTGGCCCTTTAATTTTAATAAGTCTGGCTGCCCTTTACTCCCCAATAGGAAGACCCATTGGATTATTAACGCGGGGCCTTGGGAAAGGAATTTTCTGTGTGACATTTAAACCCCCCGCGCCATGACCAAAACCAACTTTAATGGGTTTGGGGACCAGCATGGTTTCCAGACCGGGCCTGCTCCCTCCGCCAGTCTGATAAAGGATCCTTTGCTTTAGCTACCCCGTTTTCTCTATTTTTGTAATAGGGGTTTTTTTAAAGTAACAGAAATGGATCCTGATCAATGGCAGGGATCGCAGGCTGGTCTGGAACCCTTTCCCGGGGCCCGAAAAACGACAATTTTTTAAATTTTTGTCATGGTGCGGCTCTTTTTGATCTAGGACATTTGATTTGTAAGGGCCCTTTTGTCTCTAAATTTGCAGTCCCAAAAATGTTGTTGAAATTAGTAGTCAGTAAATTTGGGGAAAAATTTGGGTTTAAATTAATTTAAAAAAATTATTCAGGAACCCAGAAGGTGCTTGACTCCCCGGAAATGGCCAAAAAAAATTTTTTGTTGTGTAAAAATTAGCTTTTAAATATAAACAAAAATAAAACAAAAAAAACCCTTATAAACCCAGGTCTTAAAAGGGTGTAGGAATCGGGTTAAAAAAAATTTTTAAAAAAAAAAATTTTGGGAAAACAGGGGAAAAATCAGATCAGGAAAAACCTTTTTTAACTTCCTGCAATCTTTTATGAAATTTTTTATAGGTTGATGATATTTTGTTTTGAGGATGTGAAATTTTTTAATTATTAAAAGGTCATATGAAGATAAAATTAAAATGCCCAATTCTGTGTATATGTACATTTAGATTTTACCAGTTTACTAATAAAACTCCACCTTCCAAATCAAACCTTCCACTAAACTCGTAATCTTGTAATCATGAATGTGATTATCTTGTAATCTTGAATAAGATAAGCAGCAGCAAACCTTGTTTTCGTATCAGCTTTAAAATTTTGCAAAAGATTTAACAAAAATTTTGTTTGTGATTTTTTCACAACTTTTTAAATTTTGTACATCTGAACAATTTAGGAGATTTCTGTACTACATTATGAGTGACCAACTCACTTGGTTTTTCAGCGCGTCGACTGTAAGTACCGATTGGGCGGGTGAAGCACTTATACCAGGTGAACAAAAATTTATTACTGTATTGGGTTTCCAAAAAATGTTAAGGTCGCTTGTTTTTGTCAGTCAATACTGTATTTGCTTAATAAATCCCCTTATTTTGAAGTTATTAAAATTATCAGTACGATTTCGAAAAGTGAACCAACAAAATTTGGCTTTTTTGCACACAACAGAATCAGTCCTGATTTTTGACATTACAGCAATTGGACTTTCTTATTATTTACAAGGGTTTTGCATAAAGAAACCTTGTGAGATAAACTGAAGTTTGGACTGCGTCTTATAAGAAGATGCGATTAGAAGCGAATATGTACGGTACCTTATATAGTAATAGGTGCTAAGATAGTAATTTTGTTTTGGAGAATAAAGTGGAGGTGGATGAACAGAACTTATGCATTTGTTCTAATATATGCTGCATGTGTGCTGAAATTTTATAGGTACCAATTAATAAACATTCTAGTTGATGTGTTTGTTCTAATAAATGCCTCATGAACATTGTTAATTGTATTTAGCACAAATATTAAATGTGTTTTAGGCAGATAAAGGTGATTAAACGCTTACTAAATTTGTTTCTTATAAATAAGCTTCAAAACCTTCATCACAATTCGGCCTTTAAAAAAAATGCATAGGCACAAAAGTTCAAATTTCTTCAGAGATTTTTATATTGGCATAATATTATAATCATTGAATTTATAGGTAGTGACATATAGCTTATTTTGATTTTTGCACATTACATGCATGTTAAAATAATGTATTGATTTGTTTTTGAGCAGCCTGGCCAAGAGGGTACGGAAATTTCTGTGTTGCTACGTGACCTTGAGAATTATAACAATGACACCAGGATGTGTGCCAGAAAGGTAAAAACTTCATGTTAGTCGAGATTAATAGTTCTGGTATTACTGTTGTTGTTGTTGCTGTTGCTGTCAGACAATGTGTTGAATGTTAGACAGCATGTTAGTTATTTGAATCAGTGCATTTTGTGTACTGTACTGTTTAAAAAGAATATAGTTTTAAATTTGTTTTTTTAGCTTATCTGTTTTTAAGGAAAAGTTGAGCTTTTATGATCGCTGCAGCGCCATTGTCATTTGTGTTGTCATGCAAAACTTTAAATGTAGCCCATTATTCAAACATTTTGAAATAAATTTTAAAATACGTGCTTGTCCCGACAAGGTACAGTTGTGAGACAAGAGGCGTAATTCTGAAAGGAATATTTTTGGAGAAATGCCCCTTTTTAATCTAGAATTTTTAAAGATTGGTGTTTTCACCGCATGCAGTGCTCTTGTTTTGCTTAAGGAAGCATGAAATTTTCAGTCATACAGTTTTAACAAAATTTTGAATGACAGGCAGAAACTTCCAGCTTTCATTTCAGGTCAAGAAAAAAGGGCAGCTGCTTTTTTGTTGGCATGTCATTTTATCTAGTCCTGCCAATATCCATGCTCATACTTGAAAATTACTTAATTTATGTTGATATAATGAAATTTTTAAAACCTGAAATGATGAATTCATTAAGAATTAATGAAATGATGACATTAGTTAAAGATGAAAATGATGTCATTAGTTAAATTTGAAATAAACCAATTAGTCACAGTCAATATGATGCTTTTAGTTAAAGTTAAGATTATGCCATTGCTTAAAGTCAAAATGATACCATTTATGATGACATCAGTTTAAGCTGAAATAATGTCATATGTTAAAGTTAAAATGCTGAAGTTATATCAATAGTTAAAGCTGATTTTGTCTATTAGTTAAGGCTGAAATAATGACTCAAATTAAAGTTGAAATGATGCCATTAGATAAAGTTGAAATGATGCTATTATTTAATGGTGAAATTATGTTATTAGTTTAAGTTGAAAAAATATCACTAGTTAAATCTGAAAAGATGCCATTAGTAACTTTTTAGTTAAAGCTAAAATGATAGTTTAAGTTTAAATTATGTCTCTAGTAGTTAAAGCTGAAATGATGGCTTATGTTAAAAGCTTAAATGTTGCTATTAGTTAAAGTTGAAATGATGCATTTAGTTAAAAGCAAAAAATGATGTCATAAGTTAAAGTGGAAATGATGTCATAAGTTAAATTTGCAATGATGCTCTTAAGTAAAGCTTGAAAGTCATTTCATTACATCATTTTAACTATTAGAGCAGAAGCAGTTATCATGAAATTTAAACCTGTGCAAATCTTAATATAGTAAAAAAGAATTAACAAGACACTTATTGTGATAAAAATATGCATGGACTTTTGTTGTATGAACTGGTTTATTTATACTAAACATGTTGGTGTGCAATTAATTCTATTAGATTCAAAGTGCTGAACAGGTAAAATGGTGAAGGTGATAACTGGGTCAGGTTCATTATCAATATGTCACAAACATGTTCACATTATCTTGAGTTTAAACTTGGTCAACTTTTTGTTTAGTTTCATTTGCTCAATGTCTTTTTAGCTCACCTGAGCTTGCTCAGGGTGAGCTTTTAGGATCGGTGAATGTCCGTCGTCCGTCGTCCGTCCGGATGCGTCCGGCTCCAAATTGCTTGTGAACACTCTAGCGGTCGCATTTTTGCCTCAATCATCATCAACTTGGTCAGGATGCTTATCTAGTTGAAAGCTCGGATGAGTTCGAACATGGGTCATCTCGGATGAAAAACTAGGTCACAAGAGCTAAAAATAGAAAAACCTTGTGAACACTCTAGAGGTCACATTTTTGACCCAATCATCATCAAACTTGGTCAGGATGTTGTCTAGGTGATAGCTTGGATGGTTCGAACATGGGTCATCTCCGGATGAAAAAGTAGGTCACAGGAGCTTATAAATAGAAAAACCTTGTGAACACTCTAGTGGTCACATTTTTGAACCCAATCATCAACAAACTTGGTCAGAATGCTTGTCTAGTCAATTGCTTGGATGAGGGGGTTTCGAACATGGGTCATCTCTGATGAAAAACTAGGTCACAGGAGCTAAAAATAGAAAAACCTTGTGAACACTCTAGTGGTCACATTTTTTGACCCAATCATCATCAAACTTTGTCAGGATGCTTGTTTAGATAATAGCTCGGATGAGTTCAATTATGGGTCATCTCGGATGAAAAACTAGGTCACCGGAGCTATAAATAGAAAAACCTTGAACACTCTAGTGGTCACATTTTTGCATCAATCATCATCAAACTTGGTCAGGATGCTTATCTATGTTGATAGCTTGGATGAGTTCGAACATGGGTCATCTCGGATGAAAAAGTAGGTCACCAGAGCTAAAAATAGAAAAAACCTTGTTAACACTTTAGCGGTCACATTTTTGCATCAATCATCATCAAACTTGATCAAGATGCTTGTCTAGGTGATAGCTCGGATGAGTTCGAACATGGGTCATCTCGGATGAAAAACTAGGTCACAGGAGCTAAAAATAGAAAAACATTGTTAACACTCTAGTGGTCACAATTTTGACTCAATTGTCATCAAACTTGGTCAGGAAACTTGTCTAGGTCATTGCTGGGAATAAATCGAACATGGGACATCTCGGATGAAAAACTAGGTCACAGGAGCTAAAAATAGAAAAATCTTGTTAACACTCTAGTGGCTACTGTTGTGATCCAAATATTCTGTTAATTGGTCTGAAAGTTTGTTTTGATGATTTCTAAGTCAAGATCGAACATGGGTCATCTTGGATGAAAAACTAGGTCACACCGCCCAAATATGGAAAAACCTTGTTAACATTCTAGTGGTCACATTTTCGACTCAATTATCATCAAACTTGGTCAGGATGCTTGTCTAGGTAATTGCTTGGATGAGTTCGAAATCACATGTGAAACTAGGTCACCGGAGCTAAAAATAGAAAAATCTTGTTAACACTCTAGTTGCTACTGTTTTGATCCAAGTATCCTGGAAATTGGTCTGAAAGTTTGTTTTGATGATTTCTAGGTCAAGTTTGAATATGTATCACCTGGGTAAAAAACACTAGGTCGCACTGCTCAAATATGGATAATCCTTGTTAACACTGTAGTGGTCACATTTTTGACTCACCTGTCATGAGACTTGGTCAGAATGCTTGTCTAGGTAATTGTTTGGATGAGTTTGATAATTCAGGTGAGCGATCTAGGGCCATCATGGCCCTCTTGTTTATTTAAACCATGTCAATTTCTGCTTAGTTAAACTTGGTTAACTTTTGTTTAGTTTAATTTGCTCAATGTCTTTTTTAGTTAAACCTTGTCAATTTCTGCTTAGTTAAACTTGGTCAATATCTGTTAAGTTAAACTTGGTCAATGTCTGTTCAGTTAAACTTAAGTCAGTCTCAAGGCATATAATTTATTTCCTTTTAATACATTCTAGAATTGAAGAAAATGAATGGTTCACCGGCTAAGCTCAGTAAGGAGAATATTAAAATAAGAATCTATAATCCATGGACAAGGAAATATTTAATTGTGAGGAATGATCCCGCACTTGAGTCTTATGGCCATTTGTCTCTCATTACTGAAACAGAAATCATGTGCAATTTGTAGTCAGTCACTTACGATTACTGGTTAGTAATCCAGGAAAGCCATTTAGGTGTACTGAAAGTCGATATATGGCAAAAATGTGTTGAAATTTGCTACGAAAAAAATGTCAAATAAACAAGCAATGAACCTTTAGAGTTGGCAGGAATTATAATGAACATAATTGAGCCGCGTCACGACAAAACCAACATAGTGCGTTTGCGATCCTCGCAGTCTGATCAGGATCCATGCTGTTCGCTATCAGTTTCTCTACTTGTTAAAGGGTTTGGAAGCAAACAGCATGAATCCTGATCAGACTGCGGGGATGTGCAGGTTGGTCTTGATCCATGCTGATGGCAAGCGCACTATGTTGGTTTTGTCATGGCACGGCTTAATTATATATATATATACCTGTAGTTACTACTGATTAAGACGATAAAATCACAGACCAGGATTTACACTACCTGTAAATGACTGATATATATTTTTATTTATATTTGTAGTGAATTTAAAATAAGCACACTGCAAACATACATTGACCAAGTGTTCTGTTTATTTATATGTAGACAATATAAAATATTTTAAGTTATTAAGCCATTATTTTATTTATTTAGTTTAAAACCAGCATATTTTGTTTTCAATATCATTTGTGAATGATTTGGTCCTGTATTTTTCCCCCATATAAAAATGTTCTTCAGAAGCACATTGTTTATTTCTGACTATTTAAGTTTGGGTCTTATGTAAAGCATGGTGCTCACAATTTAGTTTGAAATATATAGTACAGACACACTCAACTGTCTAACTTTGTTTTGACAATTTTTTAGTTTAAAATGTATAGTTTAGACAAACTCAGCTGTCTAACAGTGCTTTGATATTATTCTTTTTTAACATTTTATAATATGTCCTTGTTCATCCATCTGTCATTTGAAAACAAATGTATAACTAAAGCTCATTCAACAGTTTTCTATGTGTGTATTTTGAGATATATCTGTATGTTTTATTATGTACAATCTGATAATAGCTACTGTTATTCTCACACACAATTTTTTTCATTTTTATTAACCATTTTTTTCAGCTACATTCTATTTCATTGAGCACAGGGGTAGGTATATTGTGCTGTGTTCTGCAGGACTTACAAGTATAGTCTGTGCACACTCATCTGTCATAATGCTAGAACATTCATTTAGTTATATTGCTCAAAAGTCTTCATTTTAAGATACATCATCCTATGAAGTGGTGAGACAAAACATCATATTTGATAAGAATAATTATGATTATGAATAGAAAATGAAAATTGTGTTAATAAAACTCTGATTTGAGTAAGTTAATAGGAATAGAGAAGCCAGTTCAGACTCCCGTAAAACTATGGCAGTTTGATTCTTAGTAGACATTTACTCTTTTGTCAAAATAAGATGTAAAAAGGATTCACCTGATGAAAATGAAAGTATTGGCCTTTTAAGGCAGATGGTCTCTGTATTGAGGTGGTTGTTAAACACAAGTTTGACAATATATACTAAATGTTATCATATAAACATAATCACATGTATAAAAAAAAGTACAGAATGACTGTATTCATTATGAATTGAAATTAGGTAGATTTATATAAAGCTAGGAGAATTTTCCATGAATAAATTACCAAAATTAGGCTATAAGTTGCTTATGGTTTTAATTATACTTTGATAAAACAATAATTGAGGAGTGTTGGTAACACAACCTTGGCCTATACCAAGAGTTTGATGCAGTTATATAACAAACTATACCATAGTGGTAGTTATTTGAGCCGCGTCATGACAAAACCAACATAGTGCGTTTCCGACCAGCATGGATCCAGATCAGCCTGCGCATCCACGCAGTCTGATCAGGATCCCTGCTGTTCGCTTACAAAGTCTATAACAAGTAGAGAAACTGATAGCGAACAGCATGAATTCTGATCAGATTGCGTGGATGCGCAGGCTGGTCTGGATCCATGCTGTTGGCAAACCCATTATGTTGGTTTTTTGTCATGACGCGGCTCATTTATTTTCTTGCTGTGATATTGCTTTAACAATAGACAGAATTATCATACTAGGGTAGAATGTACTTTTGATAATTATGCAGTTTGCTGTTTATTCACATTTAATTTCTGTTTAAACCAAAAAATGTGTTTCTTTTAATTTAACTAATTAATCTTTCAAAATTAGATAATAGGTTTCTTTTTGTGTTTCCTTTCATATTAATTTTTGAATAATACTGCCTATTACTGCTTAATCATTAAAATAAAAGATATTTTTAATCCACTTCTGATGATTTTGAAATGATAAATGAACATGTTCTGATAAACCTCGTTCATTGCACTGAAAAAGAAAATATCATTCAGCAATGTTTTAACTCCTTTTTTTCTTTGCAAACCATAAGAAAATTTGGGAAATTTGTTTTCTTAAAAAACAAAAATTGTACTGTTCATATTAAGCCATATAAGCCTAATAAGTTTAGACATTCGAGGGACATTCTCTTAAATTTTGTGGAATTTTAAGATTAAATTGAGAATTTTCTACAGTTTTTGTTGTTTCTTTTTTTAAATGGGAAAAGGCCTCCATGTTATGCAAAAAAAAAAAATTGCTTAAAAAAGTTATATACTTGTATACATAAATTTTAAAATTTGTTTAGACCTTCACACAGATATAGAGGATGTAAGTCGAAATATAACAAACTTAATCCACTAAATGTATTTTATAGGTGAAGAGACGTCTGCCACAAGGAGATTTTGCTAACACGGCAACGCCCTTGAACTTTAGTAAAGAGGTCAGTGATTTGATATCATTTTAAGTATGTTCTGGCAGCAAAGATGGTGAATGCTGAATGCATATGGTTTTCATTTTAAAATGGTTGTACTGTTACTGTTATAGGTGTTAATATTGATGAGTAATGATGATGATGACACAGTAGTTTTGATAATAATGATTTTATGATGATAATAATGATGGTTTTATGATAGTAATTTTATGATTATGATGATGGTTATGATGATGGTTTTATGATAGTAATTTTATGATTATGATGATGATGATGATGATAATAATGATGGTTTTATGATAGTAATTTTATGATTATGATGATGATAATGGTAATGATGATGGTTTTATGATAATAATTTTATGATTATGATAATGATTTTATGATGATAATTTTATGATTATGATGATGATTTGATGATGATGAATTATATAGTGATGGTGAATTTATGATAATGATGATGATTATGAAGATGATTTTGATGATGGTTATACAATGATGATGATGATGATGATTATGATGATGATGATTATGCAAAAGTGGAGGAGTATTATTATTATGGTGATGTTGATGACATTATTAATGTTATGATAATGATTTTCAAATACAACTTACAACATACACTATTATAATAATCTTTATTTGCCAAATATTATACTTAATGACTCATGTATGTTTTTATATAATATACTATGGTATTACAGGTTCAAGAACTGATACAAGAGACAGGTGGTCATATACTAAAGGTAGGGAAGACATTACAACACCTAGCGGTGGGAGCCATGCAACAAGCTGCACTTCTTACAGGTATGTTTATATAACCATATCTGTATCTTTCTGTGGGCATTGGTTATATGCGGGTTTCTTAAGGTTATAAAGAAATTTGGGGCATTTTTAAAGTAGGATGTGAATAAGTAGGTCTAGCTGTTAACATAAAGGTATGTTGAATATATAACCCCATGTATCCTAGGGGAAGTTATATTAGATCTTGGTACATTGTAAGTATGGAAACCCTGGTTATATACATGTATATACCCAAAGATGAATAGCTATGATCTGATTGGTTTACTTAAAATTAGTAATAAACATAATTATAGTTATGTTTCTTTTTAGTCCCCTACCGGTTTACCGAAGGGGACTTTAGGTTTACCCTCCGTCCGTCTGTCTGTCCGTCCGTCCGTCAGTCCGTCCGTCGGTCCGTCCGTCAGTCCGTCCGTCCACAAAACTGGATCCCGCGATAACGCAAAAAGTACTGAAAATATTTTAATGAAACTTGATATATGGATAGATGGCAGTATGGAGATTATGCACGTCTTTTTCTTTTCTTCCTATGTTAAAAATTCTGGTTGCTATGGCAACAAATAGACTGAAAATATGGCAAATTTTACACATAACCTGGATCCAGTGATAACACAAAAAGTACTGAAAATATGTTTTATGAAACTTGACATATGGGTAGATGGCAGTATAGAAATTATGCACATTCTTTTCTTATCTTCCTATGTTGAAAATTCTGGTTGCTATGGCAACAAATAGACTGAATTTCAAGATTTCTGATTCTAGTTTTTTCACTTATAAGTTCTTTATTTCTTAAGGTATTTTCTTCAAACTTTAAATATAATTGCTTGTCGTCAACCACATCATATGTGACAAGGTTTACAACTCTAGCACAAAATTTATCAGAATTACCTCCCTTGAACTTAAAATTTTCATGAAAAGAAACATTGTTTTTTAATAACTTCTTTTCTGAAGGTATCTACTTCAAACTTCATATAAATGTTTCTTATTATCACTCAACATTTGTGAGTGTTCAATACTCTAGCAAGACTATTTCCAGAATTTATAATGCCCCTTTTGAACTTAGACTTTTTTTGAGAAATTGGTAATTTTTTACTCCAACTTCTTCAATCATGATAGGATTTTAAAATGTTATATTTTGATAACAGGGATGTTTAAAAAATAAACTTTAGAGTGTCCTTCAGTCCGTCTGTCTGTACATAAAAACTGTTTCCTGTGATCACTTTTAAAGAACTTTTTCAACAAATTTACTTAAAATAGGAACCTAAGTGAATGGCCAATGGCCCTTCAGAATGTTGCTTGGGCTCTTACCGGTAGGGGACTTATGGATTGCTTGCAATACTATGATAATTGCTTGTTTATTCAGGGAGAAAGATATATTCAGTCAGTTTAGAAAAGAATTGTGTGTCTGAATTTTAGCAAGGTGTTGCTTTATGTTGTAAAGATAATTTCGCTTATTTTTAGCTCACCTGTCACAAAGTGACAGGGTGAGCTTTTGTGATCGCTTTTCGTCCGGCGTCCGTCCGTCCGGCGTCCGTCCGTAAACTTTTACGTTAAATGACATCTCCTCATAAACCACTTAGCCAATTTCATCCAAACTTCACAGGAATGTTCCTTTGGTGGTCACCTTTAAAAATTGTTCAAAGAATTTAATTCCATGCAGAACTCTGGTTGCCATGGCAACCGAAAGAAAAAACTTTAAATATCTTCTTTTAAAAAACCCTAAGAGCTAGAGCTTAGATATTGGCATCAAACATCTTCTAGTGAGTATCTACAAGTTTTTTGTTCAAATAAAATCCCTGGGGTCAAAATTGGCCCCGCCCCAGGAGGTCATTGATTTTCCCCTATATGGCATATAGTAAAAACTTAAAAAATCTTCTTTTAAATGAACCCAAAAGAGCTAGAGCCTAGATATTCAAGCATGAAACATGTTCTAGTGACAGTGTCTACAAGTTTGTTCAATAAAAGCCCTGGGGTCAAAATTTGCCCCGCCCGCATGGGGTCATTGATTTTCCCGTATATGCATATAGTAAAACTTAAAAAAATCTTCTTTTAAAGAACTCAAAGAGCTAGAGCTAAGATATTTAGCATGAAACATGTTCTAGTGGGTGTCTACCAAGTTTGTTCAATAAAAGCCTTGGGTCAAAATTGGCTCCGCCCCGGGGGTCATTGATTTTCCTTATATATGTATAAGCAAAAACTTAAAAATCTTCTTTGAAAAAAACCAAATAGCTAGAGTTTAGATATTAAGCATGAAACATGTTCTAGTGAGTGTCTACAAAGTTTGTTCAAATAAAGCCTGGGTCAAAATTGGCCCCGCCATGGGGGTCATTGATTTTCCCTATATGCATATAGTAAAACTTAAAAAAAATCTTCTTTTAAAGAACTCAAAGAGCTAGAGCGTAAGATATTTAGCATGAAACATGTTCTAGTGGGTGTCTACCAAGTTTGTTCAAATAAAAGCCCTGGGGTCAAAATTGGCTCCGCCCCGGGGGTCATTGATTTTCCCTTAAATATGTATAGCAAAAACTTACAAAATCTTCTTTGAAAAAAACCAAATAGCTAGAGTTTAGATATTAAGCATGAAACATGTTCTAGTGAGTGTCTACAAAGTTTGTTCAAATAAAAGCCCTGGGTAAAAATTGGCCCCACCCCTGGGGGTCATTGATTTTCCTTATATGTGTATAGCAAAAAACTTAAAAATCTTCTTTGAAAAAACCCAAATAGCTAGAGTTAAGATATTCAGCATGAAACATCTTCTAGTAAGTGTCTACAAAGTTTGTTCAATAAAAGCCCTGGGGTCAAAACTGGCCCCGCCCCAGGGGTATCATTTGTTTTAAACTATATGTGTATAGTAAAAACTTAAAATAACTTCTTTTAAAAAACCAGTGAGCTAGAGCCCTAGATGTTTAGCATGCAAAACATATTTTATGGGTGTCTACAAAGTTTGTTCAAATAAAAGCCCTCGGGTGAAAATTGGCCCTGCTGGAGGGGGGGGGGGGGGGGAGATCATTGTTTTTCATTATGTGTCTAGTAAAACTTAACAACTAAACATTGTGAAACATCTTCTAATGAGTGTCTTTCAAGTTTGTTCAAATAAAAGCCTGGGGTTTAAACTGGCCCCGATCCGGGTGCCTTGATACAGGTGAGCGACCTCAGGGCCATCATGGCCCTCTTGTTTATTCCTGTCGTATATTCTTGTGTTTTATATATTTCTAAATTTGGGGAAGATGGCTCCAATGGCCAAAATGGTTAAGATGGCTGTATTCAAACCACATGCCAGTTTGGGTTTAAATCCCATCATGACATTAAGATTCTTTCATGTGATCTTGTTGTTAAGCTAGCTTTCAGAACGTTCAAGGTTTTACACAATTGTTTGTTCGTACCTGAGAAAATGCACGGAGGCGCACAGAAAGTTGCGATTTACTGATGTTCTGGTAAAGCCGGATTGTTGTAGCTTATGTCATGTAAAAATAAAGAATAAGTTCAACCTTTAGCTTTGCAGTGTTGTAACTTATAACCCAGCAGAACTAAAGAAATACAAGTGACAACTTAAAAACAGTAAAAGTATTATCATGTTTTTAAAAATTTCATTTATATTTTAATAAAATTAGAAATAAGATATGGAACGGAAATTAAGTTACATGTACATAATTAAATATAGATAAATTTTCTAACATCAACAGGTTAATAATTTGAAATTTTATTTATGCTGAAGTTTCTTCAGAACAATAGGTACTGGAGAGTATTTGGGAGGACCGTTTTTTTTTTGTTTTTTTTTTTTTAATTTTATGAAGTTTTATGGAATATTTACTATCAAGATGGTTATATTTTATTATGTAGGTCGGACAGGTAGGTCTATATGAAAGGTTAGGGTAGATTAGCTAACATACAATTTGAGGTGCACTTGGCATGACATTGTGTAAATTGATAATATTACATGCTTTATTTCATTTAATTAAACTAATGTCTTATTTTAGTACTGGCTATAAATAGATCAACATAGTGCTTATGTCATGTACAAAAAATAATGTTGATAATGTTTAAAAATAGTTTTAAGTAAAGTACTTTGGAGTGGTATTTATTTTTTCAAAACCAAGTTATATTTTTATATACGGTAGATTTATATTTTTTGCAATTTATCTAAGCCAGACTTATAATTTCAGCAACTTTTGCTGAAAAAAAAAGTTCCACATGTGACAACAAATTAGGGATCAAAGGATAAAAAGATTTTAAGAATTAAATATCTTCAACTCCCTGAACCTGTTTTTTTGAAGGATTTATTCAACAATTTTAATCATAGAAAACTTTGAAAGAAAACCACTTTATATGGTTGGGCTTTAGATAACAAAATTGCTTGCTACTTTGAAAATTTAAAAAAAGATAGGAAAAAATAGTCTTTTAACTAATGATAATGTGACTAGGTTAGTGACCATTGTAGTTCTTATTTAGGATTTAATGCTTGGAACTGGTGCTAAGAAAATTTTTGGATTTTTTTATAGTTTTATGTAGTTTAAGAGATTTAAAAAACCTTTTTTATGTTTATATCTTTATTGTATGTTAAAAAAAATTTGTTAACTTTTTTCTTGTTTATTTCTTTCCTGTAACATAATGAATCTGTGACAGCAATCTGCAAATTCAGTCACAGTTACTTTGTACATGACCGTCTTCGTGTAATTTTACTGCTGCAAGGCCCCAAATTTCCTTCAGGCGCCATTATTAATTGTCAAAGTTTTCTAAAGATAGTTACGGTACATTAATTAGTAATAATGGATTGAATTGAATAGTTAATTTGAAATTGAATAATTAAGTATAAAATATTTATTTTAATATTTATTGAGTAAAGTAATCTACCATTAATAATAAGAAGATATTTTATAACAGTAGGTAAATGAAAGTAGACTTGCATTCCATCATAATTAAAAAATATTTTTGGTTTGATCTTAATTAAAAAATTTATGTTGCTTTTAATATAATATTATGTTTTTTATGGTTATTTTTTTTTTGTTGCTAATACAAACATAACTTTATTTGATTTTTTATAAGTTTTTATTTTTATTATACATGTAGTTAATTTTATTGGCCATCCTTAAACAAAAGTGTTAGTTTTGTAGATTAATATTATTATCCTCCTGTTTGTTTAAAAAAAGAAGAAAAAAGACGAAAAAAGAAAACGTCTGTTACTAATTTTTGCAGGAAAAAAAATGAATTTTTCTCCTTTATTAAAAGAGCATGTAAATACCTTCATGCATTATCAAGCACCCACTATTTACTATTTGGGTAATCAAAATAATTTGACATCTTGAGCAGATTTAAAGATTTGTACTGTTCTTTTGGGTCAAAATATGTAAGCTGAGATATTGCATATAAATTGATACATTATCTTGATTTTCAAAAACTTAATGATTTTGCTTACAGACCACAAAACAATATTCTTTTCTTTAAAGATGGCCTATATTTTTCATTTATTATTTTACAAGTACATATATATTTTTGTTTGTAAAGATGGGACGTTTAATTTAGACAAGTATAAAGGTAATACTTGCTTGGCTCGACCACTGTTGAAACAATTCTAGTTCTAACTGCCAATTGAAAAAATATTTGATATCTTGTGCATATTGTAGACAGATAGATCATTTTTATCCTGATTGATTCACAATGCTGGACAAATTTTATAACTGTTGGCAATACACGTTTTATTTTGTCTAAGGCATATCAAAAACATATGAGCCGCGTCACCACAAAACCAACATAGTGCGTTTGCGACCAGCATGGATCCAAACCAGCCTGCGCATCCGCGCAGTCTGATCAGGATCCATGCTGTTCACTTACTAACTCTATTACAAGTAGAGAAACTGATAGCGAACAGCATGGATCCTGTTCAGACTGCGCGGTTGCGCAGGCTGGTCTGGATCCATGCTGGTCGCAAATGCACTATATTGGTTTTGTCATGGCGCGGCTCATATTTTACAGCCTACTGGGTTCATCAGCTGCTAATCATACATGTACATGTAATGAAGAAATAATTGACTTTGTATATTATTGTTTGGAATTTTGATTATTATAATGAATCTTAGCCTGAATTAGATTAAAAGTTGCCAGCAGTTGTGAAAAAGGTCAGCTGTATAATTATCTTCCGCACGCATCTTACTTATTATGTAACAGTGTTTTCATTGGCCAATTAAATTCTATGTAGTACTACAAGTAACAGTGGTTTTCATTGGCCAGTTATATTCTGTATAACAGTGTTTACAGTGTACATTGGTCAATCAATTTCTATTTTAAAAATGTTTTTCTACTGCCACTAAGGTTCTATTCTTTATTCTGATGCAGCATTTTTCATTGGTCAAATCATAACATTGACATAATTATATTTAAACACAATTTATAAAAGTTGCCTAGAATATTTAAACACAATTTATAAAAGTTGCCTAGAAATTTGAATTTTAGGAATTTTGAAATACAAAATGAAATTGCTTTGAAAACACTGTTACAGAATGCAAATGATCCATGCAAAGTCTTTTGTAACTACTTTTAAATGAAGATGCAGACAATAATAAGTACATTGATACAATAAAGTGTACAAACAGGTCTGTTTATGTTACCCCCTTTCTCAGCATGCAGTACTAATAATAATCGCATAATCAATCTTTTTGACTGAGCATATCTGCAAACAAATTGCTTCAAGTGTTTAAATTAAAAAAGAGACCTGATTGTGGAGAAGACAATACAGTAATAACAAAGTAAAAAAATGAGCCACATCCTGACAAAACCAACATACCAGCATGGATCCAGACCAGCCTGCGCATCCGCACAGTCTGATCAGGATCCATACTGTTCGCTTATCAACTCTATTACAAGTAGAGAAATTGATAGTGAACAGCATGGATCCTGATCAGACTGCGCGGATGCGCAGGCTGGTCTGGATCCATGCTGGTCGCAAACGCATTACGTTGGTTTTGTTGTGACGCGGCTCAAATATTAAATTTTGATATTACTGAATGAATGAGTATAATATATGTGTGTGTCTTGTATATATAGAAAGCTACCCGACAATTGTTAGTTACGGGAGGTCAGTGGTTTTAGTCCAAAATGGACAAGATGATGCTTTGTGTCACCTAGTACCAAGGGAATTACACTATGTAATTTTATTTATGACCTAGAACTGTTTTTCGTGTCATTTTAAAATCAGATAAAAGAATTGAGACTTAATACTTAAAATGAAATTTTATTTTTGTAACAATGTAAGTGCTAGTTATGGTTCAGAAGTATGGGAAGTTCATTGTTAAGCTAGAATTTTTATTTACAGCATAGCAATTTTATTTCAGGTTTTGTGGTTATTTATATTTCTATGCTCGTTATAATAAATTATAATAATTCTTTTTCTAGTTAATAACTCCTTGTGTTATGTGTTCATGTGTTTGTTTGTCTCCATGTGCTTGTTTTGTTGTTTTGATATTTTGCTCTGTTTTTAGAGAGATTAACAATTGGCGGAGTGCCAAAATGGATGGGTAATGTCAGGCACTAAACACTGCATTTGTCAAACTGTTACATGTATTAGTACTACTTTTGTCTAGATTCTTGTTCTTAGGGGTGTTATGATACTACTTTTGTGTAGTTCTTTGATCCTAGGGGTTATTTAGTGATTTGAGTTTGGTAAATTTCTGTGTCTTTTGAAAAATTGGTTTGGTATGATAGAAATAGATGAGTGTCTATGTTTGCATTAAAATTTATTAATTTCTAAATTTGTAAAGTTATTCAAATAAACTAGCAGATATTATGAGATCGGTTCAAACAAATTTATTAAATTTATGAAAAATTTGTGGTATTTTTTGTATAACTTTAGTTCTAGAGGTCAGTGGTTCTATTAATACAAATCTGATAAAATCAATATAATTTCAGCTTCTAAAATGAAAGGTGATCTATTTGCACTATGGTGCTATTGCATGATTATATTCAGCTTAAGCCGAAACTGCTTTTTGTATAATCTACAAAATAAACATCAGATTCCAGTAATTGCTCATAATAAAACATAAGTTACGTGCTCTAGCTGTCTTTTGACTTGTAAAACAAACAATGCATTGAAATGCTGAATGTGGTAAAGTTACATGAGAACTAGAAAAAGTTCATCTAAATAATCGTTTGACAAAAATAACTGTTAGAAACTTAATTTAAACTGTCTTTGAACCAAAAAACTCGCAAAAAAAGTTTTAAAAAATTTTGAAAGTTAAAATTATCCTACCTGAATAAACCACTCATACTTAGTTATGGAAGGTGGGTGGGTTTACTCATTATATAATGCACAAGGGGACACATGAAGGTCTTCCTCCACCAGTAAAGCTTGGGAGTTGGTGTTACAAAAAATCACAAAAACAGACAAATAAACAATCAAGGAATAAACCATTGCACGAAATAGGGCGGAGAAGGTTCATGCATAGTTTAAGTAATGTAACGAAAACTTTTACTGCGAAATAAATTTAGAATTTTCTTACATGCATTTTGCACACATTTTGTACATTGTAAGTCATAGCACATTATATAACTTAGATTACCATGGTGATAGAACACATTTTAGTGTTAATCTCAACACTTAAGCATTTAAATTTGTTCCTATATTTCTTTATTAACATGAATATTATTATGAACACTGGTACCATGATACCATTCTTAAAGATCCTGTATGTTTTGTGATTGATATTGTTACAGTGTGTATACCACACTTGCAAAAAGTTATATATGTATATAATTATGCAAATAAAACAATTTTCAAACATCGAATAATATGTAAAATGTGTACTGCAAATATTTGTGCACATTATATTTAATCAATGAATTACATGCATTCATTTCTTATTGGAAAATTTGACTTAGAATTTATAGATAATAAATTTCTAATTACCTCCCTTTATTTACATGAAATATTAAATTGGGTAATATCTTTATAAATTATGCTTATTGGAACTTACAATATTGACAAATCTTAATTTAAGCATCATATTTAAGAAATAAAACCATGAAAAAATTGTGTTACAGGATCTTTAAAAGAACTGAACAATCTGGCACTTTATTAAAACTTTTAAAAAAAAGTAGTCTCTTCCTGCAGCTTGGCTATAAACTTATAAGTTTGTGAAAAAATAAATATTATCTAATACTAAAGAATTAGTGTTATGTATTGGACTTTTTTACATTCATACTGTCTCTTGTTTAGTATTAGTATACGTAAATTGAACCTCACAGTAGAGAATATTGCACTTAGAAATATGACATCTGGCCAGGATATATTTTATTAGTGGTATACATTGAACTGGAATTATTGCTGCTTGCTTCAAAGAGTGTTAAAGAGTAATTATATTTTCTTGCACAACATTTATATTGCAGCTTGTACTGTAGAATAGATGAGAAAAAATATTCCGACTATGAAAACACTAAAATGCTGGTTGTAACTATTTGCTTGCACTGTCAAATAAAAAAGTCTTCTTCTCCATTACTTATAATTAATAAGTATAGTTTGAGATAGGTTTATGTAAAAACTTAGGTTTCCCTAGAAGATAAAAGCACAGTATCTAGAAAAATTGCTTAAAATGTCAGTATGTGCTATTGTGGCTCTTAATGTCATAGGGCTTGTCACATATGGGGCGTCCGTGGCCAAGTGGTTATGGTCATTGACTTCAAACCACTTGCCCCTCACTGCTGTGGGTTTGAATCTCGACAGGGACTTTGGATTCTTTCATGTGAGGAAGCTATCCAGCTAGCTTTCGGAACTTCGGTGGTCCTACTTAGCTGCCTGTTAGTGCCTGAAAAAATGCACGGAGGGGCAACTGAGGTCTTCCTCGACCAGTAAAGCTGGGACATTGCCAAATGACCTATAATGTGTCAGTGTGTCGTAATACCCAAGTAAATAAAAAAAATGTCTCATACATATTTGTAAGAAGTTTTGTCAGATAGCCAAATGTCTTTGTTCTCTTTTACACTCAATAAGCTGTTGATCAATGAATTGCTTTTTGCTTATCCGTCTCTTTTACTGTTAGTTCAGCATAATATTTTAGACAAAATGGTGATACTTGGTTTTGTTGAAATTCACAAACCAACTTAAACAGTACTGTTATGTGAATGCTCTCCCTGGTTCCCTAATTGTGTACAAACTGTTTATCTTTGACTAAAGCATGTAAAATAGTTCTTTCTGTGCCACATAAATTAATTTTTCTACTGACTTCGTAATGTAGCCTATCATACAGGAAAGTTTTGAAAGTTGTTTAAAATTTTGTTTTCGCCATCTTGATATCTATTGCTCAGTATACAGTCATCCCTGTATTAACTCTGAGCCTACTAGAGGCTGGAGAAGGTATCTGTGTTACCAGTATAGACAAACATCAGCGGGTGCTTCTGTGTCATCTGATCTATGTCTGCGCTGTTTGATATTCATTTAGTTAATATATGAAAACTTTCCCAAAAATGATCTTGATGGATAAATATAATTATTATTTAATATCAAGTATGTTACAGGTTCATTTTAAAACTCCCTGAGCAAAACATTATAATGATATCATTGTTTTTGCCAAGTAGTGATATTGCAATTCTATTTCTTATTCATTTTCCTAAATTTTGAATTTTGTAATTGATTTTACTTAGTTTAAATTGATTAAAGTTTTCTGTTATATATAATTTTGATAGTATAGTATGGTTATGTTTTTAGCTCACCTGTCACAAAGTGACAGGGTGAGCTTTTGTGATCGCTTTTCGTCCGTCGTCCGTCCGTCCGTCGTCCGTCCGTAAACTTTTACTTTAAATGACATCTCCTCATAAACCACTAAGCCAATTTCATCCAAACTTCACAGGAATGTTCCTTTGGTGGTCACCTTTAAAAATTGTTCAAAGAATTTAATTCCATGCAGAACTCTGGTTGCCATGGCAACCAAAAGAAAAAACTTCTTCTTTTAAAAAGCCATAAGAGCTAGAGCTTAGATATTTGGCATGAAACATCTTCTAGTGAGTGTCTACCAAGTTTGTTCAAATAAAAGCCCTGGGAACAAAATTGGCCCCGCCCCAGGGGGTCATTGATTTTCCCTATATGCATATAGTAAAAACTTAAAAAATCTTCTGTTAAAGAACCCAAAGAGCTAGAGCTTAGATATTTAGCATGAAACATGTTCTAATGGGTGTCTACCAAGTTTGTTCAAATAAAAGCCCTGGGGTCAAAATTGGCCCCGCCCCGGGGGGTCATTGATTTTCCCTATATGCATATAGTAAAAACTTAAAAAATCTTCTTTTAAAGAACCCAAAGAGCTAGAGCTAAGATATTTAGCATGAAACATGTTCTAATAGGTGTCTACCAAGTTTGTTCAAATAAAAGCCCTGGGGTCAAAATTGGCCCCGCCCCGGGGGGGTCATTGATTTTCCCTATATGCATATAGTAAAAACTTAAAAAATTCTCTTTTAAAGAACTCAAAGAGCTATGGCTAAGATATTGAGCATCAAACATGTTCTAATAGGTGTCTACCAAGTTTGTTCAAACAAAAGCCCTGGGGTCAAAATTGGCCCCGCCCCAGGGGGTCATTGATTTTCCCTATATGCATATAGTAAAAACTTAAAAAATCTTCTTTTAAAGAACCAAAAGAGTTAGAGCTAAGATATTTAGCATGAAACATGTTCTAATAAGTGTCTACCAAGTTTGTTCAAATAAAAGCTCTGGGGTCAAAATTGGCCCCGCCCCGGGGGTTCATTGATTTTCCCTATATGCATATAGTAAAAACTTAAAAAATCTTCTTTTAAAGAACTCAAAGAGCTATGGCTAAGATATTTAGCATCAAACATGTTCTAATAGGTGTCTACCAAGTTTGTTCAAATAAAAGCCCTGGGGTCAAAATTGGCACCGCCCCGGGGGTCATTGATTTTCCTTATATGTGTATAGCAAAAACTTAAAAAAATCTTCTTTGAAAAAACGCAAATAGCTAGAGCTAAGATATTTAGCATGAAACATCTTTTAGTGAGTGTCTACAAAGTTTGTTCAAATAAAAGACCTGGGGTCAAAATTGGCCCCGCCCTGGGGGTCATTGATTTTCTTTATATGTGTATAGCAAAAACTTAAAATCTTCTTTGAAAAAACCCAAATAGCTAGAGTTTAGATATTAAGCATGAAGCATCTTCTAGTAAGTGTCTACAAAGTTTGTTCAAATAAAAGCCCTGGGGTCAAAACTGGCCCGGCCCCAGGGGTGTCATTGTTTTCAACTATATGTGTATAGTAAAAACTTAAAAAAAATCTTCTTTTAAAAAGCCCAATGAGCTAGAGCTTAGATGTTTAGCATGAAACATCTTCTTATGGGTGTCTACCAAGTTTGTGCAAATAAAAGCCCTTGGGTTAAATTGGCCCTGCAACGTGGGGGGGGGGTTGGGGGGGGGCCTATATACAGGTGAGCGACCTCAGGGCCATCATGGCCCTCTTGTTTGTAAATTTGGATCAGTTTTTCTGTCATTTCTTTCATATATTTAATTCTTTCATATATTTAGTTCTTTGCTATAAGATTTTCATTTTATTGTTTCAAATGTTTGTTCATCTATAATATTTTACAGAACAACAGGTAGTGATTTGCTACCTTTCTTCCATTATATCAAACAACTGGCAACAGTAAGGTAATGTTCAAGAAATGTTATTGATAAGTCTCAGATGGGGGGGGGGTTAATTTCAGGGAACATGATTTAAGGGTGCATAAGAAATGTAAATAAACAGGAATTTTGTGTTCTAACATTTTAGATACAGAATGTTTGATGCCCAAAAAACTGGAGGAGATCGCATACCAGGCTTCGGACAAGGTTTATGGCAAGGAGGATACTGGACCCTATGAGTGTTTGAGGTAGATTTAAGATAACCTAGGTTTATATAGTGTTAAAACCATTTTTTGGACTTTTTTACTTTCAATGACGGATGAAAGTTGATGGTTAACCAGAAATAAATAAATTAATTGATATAATAAAAAGAAGTTCATTGTCCTATTTGTTATGAATGTCTGGTTTTAGATGAATCTTAGTCAGGGAGATTAATGTTGTTGACTTCAGACCACTTGGCCTCTCTGACTGCTGTGGGTACAAATCCCATCAGAGACTTAGGAGAAGATATCAAGCTAGCTTACGGAACATTGGTGGTTCTACTCATGTCTGTTCATGTCTGAAATAATGTACAGAGAGGCACCTGGGGTCTTCTCCCGCCAGTAAAGCTGGAAAGTCACCATTTGTCTTATATGGTGATGGTGTGACTTGAGAGCCCAGCCAACAAAAAAAGCAACACCATCTGGTTTATCATGTTTTCCATTTCATGCTGGTTTTGCAGTACATCTTGAAAGTTGGTTATGTTCTGTCTAAATTTCTGCTAACTTGAACAGTTTTATTGTTGTATCTATGTATTTATTTGCTTGATTATTATCAACTTTTTTTTAGATATGAAACTCAGCAAAACAGGAGCAAGATAAGCTGTAAACTTGTTTTCTTTCATTTATGTGAAGATTAAAGCATACTGTTGTGTATAATTGTTAACAGGTTATCATTTGGAGTGGTAGTTGGAACAATGAATAAAACAGCCAATGCCATGGAAAATGGAGAATATGACTTTGATGGTACAGTTGATAAAAAGGTAATATTTTTAATATAAAAATGAAATACAAATATACAAAGTACAAGAATATAAATAAATTGGATTCAATTGGTGAATGCTACAAATAAGAATAAATTGCTTGTGTCACCATTAGAGCCATGTCATGACAAAACCAACATAGTGCGTTTGCGACCAGCATGGATCCAGACCAGCCTGCGCATCCCGCAGTCTGATCAGGATCCATGCTGTTCGCTATCAGTTTCCCTATTTGTTATAGGGTTTGAAAGCGAACAGCATGGATCCTGATTAGACTGCGCAGATGCGCAGGCTGGTCTGGATCCATGCTGGTCGCAAACACATTATGTTGGTTATATCATGACACGGCTTATTACAGATTAAAAGTCGGGACTACTCAGTGCACTTGTAAGTCTTAATACAATTCAGTTGTGAGAGAGTTTTCAAAAAAGCTTTACAAGCTTCCTACTCGATATGTAAATTTTATATTATGTACTATATTATGTAAATGTATGCATTATAGGTAAAATATTGTTTAAACCAATTCAGTTGTGATTCAAATGAAAGTGGAAAAAAACAAAACAAGTATTCGAGTTTTCGAGTTTTAATATTTTTGTTCATATTTTGCTGGCAGAACAACCAAACTGGATTTCCATAGTAACTAAACCAGTTATTACAATTTCTCTATGTCAAGTCGACTGCTAATCCCATATAATTTCTGAGTCCGTGCTGAGAGGCAAATGACCATTAGACTCCATATCCAAGAACAGTTGTCACAGAAATATTATGCTTCGCCCGAGAATCTAACCAGTGACTCTTGGATGACTAATCAGATACTCTCCCTATTGAGCAAAGCAGGTTGACTGATTATGAAAAATGAAATTTTAAGATAATTTACCAAAACATACAAAAAATTTATAGCATTGTCACATGTAAATCATTGCAGCCTGTGCCACCAGTTGTGCTAAGAGCCTCGTCAGTGAAGTCACAGATTGCAGACATTGAGTCCATCAAGTTCAAGATGGAGTCGAAGGAGGAGCAAATCATGGATCTGAAGAGGCAGTTAAAACTTAAGGTATGTTTGAGCCGCGCCATGACAAAACCAACATAATGGGTTTGCGACCAGCATGGATCTAGACCAGCCTGCGCATCCGCACAGTCTGATCAGGATCCATGCTGTTCGCTTACAAACCCTATAACAAGTAGAGAAACTGATAGCGGACAGCATGGATCCTGATCAGACTGCGAGGATGCGCAGGCTGGTCTGGATCCATAATGGTCGCAAACCCATTATGTTGGTTTTGTCATGGCACGGCTCATTTAAAGATATCCAGTTGTTAATATATAACATTCCTTGGAAAAGGTTAGTGCATACTTGAAACTAATAAGCCTTTAATAAAAAATTTAAACTTATTCCATTATTGTCATGTGTTCAACTCGTATTAATTGGTGTAGATATTTTATTCATGTTGAAATTTCTACCATATATTTGGTATATGGTATATGTTTGGTTCCCTTTAGTGCATATATGCTACTTAAGGTATGCTTTCATTGTTAGATGAGACAATTTTAATATTTTTGCCTCAGATATTTATATGAACATTAAAACATTGCCCTGTGTGACACCTAACCTTTTGATCTGCCAGTGAAGGCAGAAAGTCCCCCTTACCACTTTACCATGTATCCAGGGGACTTTGAAAACTAACCCTGGCCCCACCATCAAACTCCCATCCATCCCATGTACAAATAAAAGTAGAAAACATTTTTCAATAAACTCTATCATATCACTACATTTAGCAGCCAGTTTATCCTTCCTGCATACATATTTAAGGCTACCACCATTAATTGACTTATATTTTAGATATTTGATGTGTTGGTATCTTCCATTGGGCCATAATTCTTTGATTGGGTTTCTTGGCAATTAAGTTTAAGTTAAGTTTCTTAAAATAGATTTTCCTATTTTTCCTCATTGAAAAGCATTGTACTAAGCATACATAGTCAAAGCAACATTGATTTATTGGTACAAGTTTATAGGCTTTTGCCTGAATTTAGGTTTTTGCTACTCTTGAAACTTCTAATTTTCTATATAAAACCCAGTTGAACTACATTTGTAATACTAATTCAGGGTTTTCAGATATTTTTAACTTGTACCCATGCATGCATCATTCTTACTGATATACTTGTTGTTACAGCAAGAGGAACTTAGTGAGCAACAGGTGCGTATAGGACTGGTAGAGAAGAAACTAGAGACGGCCTCAAAAGATGCCGAAGACAAGGTGGACAATGTACAGAGAAAACTTGAAGATGCTCAGAATCTACTGAGGAAGAAAGAGAAGTATGTGTTACAGTTTTAGATTATACATTTGACAGTTTCAAAAATGCAAATTGGCATCCGGGCAGTCTGATCAGGATCCATGCTGTTCGCTATCAGTTTCTCTACTTGTAATAGGGTTGGTAAGCGAACAGCAGGCTGGTCTGGATCCATGCTGGTCGCAAACTCATTATGTTGGTTTTGTCGTGACACGGTTCATTTGAGTGTTGAGGATGTGCTTGCCAGAAATTGATAGACATAGGCTTATTTTACTTCATGAAAAATTGAAGAGTAGTTAAATATCGGTCTGTGGTATTAAAGCTGCATGCCTCCAGATGAGTCAAAACATTTCAAGACAATATAGCTTGAGAAGAAAAGTTAAAGATTCAAGTAATAATTTACTAATAAATTATGTGCGATTTAATGACTAATTTTTCAGAACTTATCACCATGTTTCTACTGCGTTACTAGAGCAATAAGGGCTATTTTTGTATATTTTGACCTTTAGTTGGTTATTTTCTGGATTGTAGGCACTGTTTTCAACATGTAAATTAATATCTTTGTTCACTTCACAATATTTTACTTTTTAAATATTTTTTCAAAATGTTCATGAAAATAAGCATGAATCTGGAGGTATACTGCTTTAAACATATCTATACCAAAAGTATTCATTGATTGTTCCATGGTGTGTCAGTTACTTATATTTGAACTTGCATTGTTTTTTTTAATGCCCAGGGGCTGGGGGGATAATTTGAACTTGCATTGTTTTTTTTAATGCCCAGGGGCTGGGGGGATAATTTGAACTTGCATTGTTTTTTTTAATGCCCAGGGGCTGGGGGGATAAAGATTTGACCTTGTCAATATGACATGCTGGTCGTCTGCAGACTGACAAAACAGTGGTATGTGGGGGCATCTGAGCCCTATGGACACATTTCAAGTTTTTTATTTCTCTTCACAACAACCAGCTTTACTTTATATAACCCATGCATATGTTTTCAGGGAGTTTGAACAAACTATGGATGCCCTACAAGCTGACATAGATACATTGGAGCAAGAGAAACTAGAACTGAAGGAGAGGCTCAGTGTATTGTCTAAGAAAACATTACTTGAAGGACTCACAAGGCAGGCTGGGCAGTCAGGTATGTGTGCGAGTGATTTTGATTAATTTAGCACTTTTTTCATGAAATACGATTTTTCCTTTCAGTCATTTTCAGTAATTCAGTAATTTAGTAATTTTTTTTTCACCCTTACTTTTTTCATGGGAAGGCTTTTGATCACCCTGTTATTTTCTTGGAGGTCTTTTTCTTGCCCTATCATTTTCACTGGAGGGCTTTTAGTTGCCCTGTCATTTTTATTGGAGGGCTTTTATTTGCCCTGTCATTTTCACTTAAGAGCTTTTATTTGCCCTTTAATTTTCCTGGAGGGCTTTTATTTGTCCTGTCATTTTCATGGGAGGACTTCTGTTTGCCCAGTCACTTTCATTGGAAGCCTTTTGTCCCCCTTTCACTTGTTGGCTTTTGATACAATAATGAATGGGAGAGGGTCTTTATACAGCAGAAAAGCGGTTAAGCAGTAGAGGATATAATGATTAGGCAAAGTGAGTGACTGACTTAGATTAATGACCTATAAGACAGAAAAAATGATAAAACTTTCTCAGAGTTAATACTTTTATTAACAAGGCTGATTGGAAAGCCAAGGCTGCTTGTGAAATTTTTGAAAATATGTTACAAATGGGTCTTACTCCAAACAGTTTTGGCATCGTTTAGGTAAGTCTGCCAGGTTTTAAATGTTATTCAATTTGTTATAATTTCATTTCACAGCTGCAGCATCTTCTGGAACTCTGTCACCTAGTAGCAGTTTCTCTGTACAAGATTCACCAGCACTTCTTGCACAGGTAAGTTTTATAAAAAAAAAAGTGAGATAAAAGAAAACCACTTACAGTAGAACTTCGATAAGTCGATTTTCTCGATGTGTCGAAGTAAACTGAAAGTCCCGATTTTTTCCCTTATTTACTCCTTATAAAACCTATTTATGAGTCGAGATTTTATGTGTTGAATTTTTCGATGTGTCGAGGTTTTTTTGTGGTCGTATAGAATAAATCCAGTACAATTTACCACAAATTAGTTGAAGTTTCTTCGATTATTTTGACACCTTTGATGTCACACCTTTTCTGGCCGCGAAGACTATTTCAGATCAACTTTAGAGGCAGGTGTTAATAACACAGCCTAGTGTTCAAACAGCCTTTATATGCATTAAAATGTGTGAAAAAATGCTTTAATCGTTACTATTTTAATTGCTGTAGGGGTATTTGAAAGGACATGTAAACAGTAAGAAATATCATTTGAGTTCTTCCGTGACCCCGTGTCGCGTGATAATCACACGCGAAATATTTACTATAAGCTGGTTTAGTTATTGCAATTTTGTATTGTTATGCCTTTTGTAACTTCATTGTATACGTCAACATGTAGTCCAAATCATTAGCCTTGAAAAGTTATTTAACATGTCATATTAATCATTGTATAATGTAAAATATCAGATAAATGAATGAAAGAAAAACATGAAATAGGTTAAGTTATAGATCTTATAATTAGGACTAGTCACGGATTGAAATTTTGTCATGAAATTCGGACAGATTCATGAGTCGAAGTCCCGATGTGTCAAAGTTTTTACGCAAGTCCCTCCAACTTCGACTTACCGAAGTTCTACTGTAATTTGTTGTTGTTGTTTTTAGCTCACCTGTCACAAAGTGACAGGGTGAGCTTTTGTGATCGCTTTTCGTCCGGCGTCCGTCCGTCCGTAAACTTTTACTTTAAATGACATCTCCTCATAAACCACTAAGCCAATTTCATCCAAACTTCACAGGAATGTTCCTTTGGTGGTCACCTTTAAAAATTGTTCAAAGAATTTAATTCCATGCAGAACTCTGGTTGCCATGGCAACCAAAAGAAAAAACTTTAAATATCTTCTTTTAAAAAACCCAAAGAGCTAGAGCTTAGATATTTGGCATAAAACATTTTCTAGTGAGTGTCTCCCAAGTTTGTTCAAATAAAAGCCCTGGGGTCAAAATTGGCCCCGCCCCAGGGGGTCATTGATTTTCCCTATATGCATATAGTAAAAACCAAAAAAATCTTCTTTTAAAGAACCCATTGAGCTAGAGCTAAGATATTTAGCATGAAACATCTTCTAATGGGTGTCTACCAAGTTTGTTCAAATAAAAGCCCTGGGGTCAAAATTGGCCCCGCCCCAGGGGGTCATTGATTTTCCCTATATGCATATAGTAAAAACTTGAAAAATCTTCTTTTAAAGAACCCAAAGAGCTAGAGCTAAGATATTTAGCATGAAACATCTTCTAATGGGTGTCTACAAAGTTTGTTCAAATAAGAGCCCTGGGGTCAAAATTGGTCCCGCCCCGGGGGTCATTGATTTTCCTTATATGTGTATGGCAAAAACTTAAAAATCTTCTTTGAAAAAACCCAAATAGCAACAATTTAGATATTAAGAATGAAACATCTTCTAGTAAGTGTCTACAAAGTTTGTTCAAATAAAAGCCCTTGGGTTAAAACTGGCCCCGCCCCAGAGGTGTCATTGTTTTTAACTATATGTGTATAGAAAAAACTTAAAAAATCTTCTTTTAAGAAACCAAATGAGCTAGAGGTTAGATTTTAAGCAGGAAACATATTTTTTTTGGTGTCTACCAAGTTTGTCCAAATAAAAGCCCTTGGGTTTAAATGGGCCCTGCCAAGGGGGGGGGGGGGGGGGGGTGCGGAGGTCATTGTTTTTCATTATATGTGTTTAGTAAAAACTTAACATCATGAAACATCTTCTAATGGGTGTCTTCCAAGTTTGCTCAAATAAAAGCCCTGGGGTTTAAACTGGCCCCGCTCCGGGGGCCTATATACAGGTGAGCGACCTCAGGGCCATCATGGCCCTCTTGTTTACAGAATTTTTTGAATTTCAGGATAATGTTTAAACAGTCATAGCCAATTTGAGTTAAAACAATTTAACATTATATTTATTAGTGTTTTTTAGACTTTATATGCTGAATTTGTGTTATGGATTTGCCAAGCTTTGAATTTGGAGCAGTTCATTCAAACTTGAAGGGATTTCAATATCAAAATACAAATTGAGAGACCAATAGTATATATATTGTACTATAAAAGCCTGGTCAGACTGCATTGATATTCAGGCTGGCCTGGCTCTATACTGTTGGTAAAGAGTTCAAAGGAATAAAGGGTTTAAGGATAATTTTATTTCTGTATTTCAGATTGATTCATTAAAGGAAGCTCTTCATAATGTGAAGGGAGATAATCTTAGACTGAAGGCAGATTCTATGAGGGTAAGGCATTGTTGCTTATTCCAAAATATGTTGTGTATGTAATACATGTATAATAATATCTGTTTGGCAAACAGCTGGCTTTTGAAAAAAAATCGACAATACCACTGTGTGGTAAAACTCATTGTAAATAATTGACCTGCGTCATGACAAAACCAACATAATGGGTTTGCGACCAGCATGGATCCAGACCAGCCTGCGCATCCGCGCAGTCTGATCAGGATCTATGCTGTTCGCTTACCAACTCTATTACAAGTAGAGAAACTGATAGCAAACAGCATGGATCCTGATCAGACTGTGCTGATGCGCAGGCTGGTCTGGATCCATGCTGGTCGCAAATGCATAACGTTGGTTTTGTCGTGACGCGGCTCATATGAAGGTAGATAGGGTTTTGGTACCATGAAGTGGATTTAGGTAAGATTTATATAAGTTGCAAGGACTTGTTTAACAGTCAAGCATAGGGAAGTATGTGCAAAGTAACGAGATACTTGTTTTGTATTAAAATGTAAAGAAATTATGTCCCTTTCTTTACGTTTTAAATTGGGCTGCAAATTTAAGGGCTGAGAAAAATGAGCAGGTAAACAACAACTGGAACAATGTGCTGAGAAATCTTTTCAGTGGCTGAGCTATGTCTCTTGAGTGATGTGGCTGAATACTTGTCTTAAAGGGGTATTCTGGCAAAATAATGACAAACATTTTAAAATGATCTTAAGTACTCAAATCGCTCTAAAATGGCATTTTTTAAAGTTCCAGCATGAATTTTGTTTAAATTCTATATATTTTGGGTTTGAAGCATAAATATATCTGTTTATGTTGAACAAAATATAGACGCCAATAGAATCACTGAATAGTTTTAAAACAAGTCATGTGACTTGAACAAACCCTTGAAGTTACAATAACAGATATTGTGGATATTGTATGATTGAAACAAGTCTAAGTCATTCATTTGACATGTTCTTTAACATTTCCAGAGTGCACTGAGACAAATATTGTGAAATCCTAGCGCTCAAACCTGACCCACGTGGGTCAAATTAGGAAACCACCATTTTATTCTTTATAGGGAGAAAAGTTTTGGTTTTTTGAGTCATTTTGAGGGCATTTGCAGAATAATAAATGAAAAATTTAAAACTAAGAAATGAAAATTTTACCTGTGTCTCCCTTTAAACATAAGTAAGATACCGTTATGTCCTGAACTGGGGCGAACTTTTTCGCCACAAAGAAAGATACATGTATGTCATTAAATGTTACACTTGTATTTTTTTGAACAACTTAGCTTTAAATATTATTCAAGGACCAGATGGCCAGATTACCACCGTTACGTGTTCCCAAGAGACAGATAGGAAAAGCGCGGCAGACATGCGTTGAACTACCAGAACTGCCAACGGGTGTACCAGGAAAGATTGAGCTCGGTAGTCTTACCAAACAAACATCAGACTTACTCAATGTAAATAATTGTTTTTGTTTTTCTGTTGTTTTTAGCTCGACTATTCGAAGAATATGAGAGCTATTGTAGTCGCCCCGGCGTCGGCGTCCGCGTCGGCGTCTGCGTTGGTTAAAGTTTTTTGTAAAGTCAAATATCTCAATTATTACTTGAGATATTCAATTGAAACTTACAATACTTATTTATAGTAACAAGGTACATCAGATAGACAAGTTTGATAACTCTGCCTACAATATTGACAGAATTATGCCCCTTTTTAACTTAGAAATTTTGGTTAAAGTTTTTTGTAAAGTCAAATATCTCAATTATTTCTTGAGATATTCAATTGAAACTTACAATACTTATTTATAGTAACAAGGTACATCAGATTGGCAAGTTGGATAACTCTGCCTACAATATTGACAGAATTATGCCCCTTTTTAACTTAGAAATTTTGGTTAAAGTTTTTTGTAAAGTCAAATATCTCAATTATTCCTTGAGATATTCAATTGAAACTTACAATACTTATTTATAGTAACAAGGTACATCAGATTGACAAGTTTGATAACTCTGCCTACAATATTGACAGAATTTTGCCCCTTTGGAACTTAGAAATTGTGGTTAAAGTTTTTTTGTAAAGTCAAATATCTCAATTATTGCTTGAGATATTCAATTGAAAATTAAAATGCTTTTTTAGCTCGACTATTCGAAGAATATGAGAGCTATTGTAGTCGCCCCGGCGTCGGCGTCCGCGTCGGCGTCTGCGTTGGTTAAAGTTTTTTGTAAAGTCAAATATCTCAATTATTGCTTGAGATATTCAATTGAAACTTACAATACTTATTTATAGTAACAAGGTACATCAGATTGACAAGTTGGATAACTCTACCTACAATATTGACAGAATTATGCCCCTTTTTAACATAGAAATTTTGGTTAAAGTTTTTTGTAAAGTCAAATATCTCAATTATTGTTTGAGATATTCAATTGAAACTTACAATACTTATTTATAGTAATAAGGTACATCAAATTGACAAGTTGGATAACTCTGCCTACAATATTGACAGAATTATGCCCCTTTTTAACTTAGAAATTTTGGTTAAAGTTTTTTGTTAAGTCAAATATCTCAATTATTGCTTGAGATATTCAATTGAAACTTACAATACTTATTTATAGTAACAAGGTACATCAGATTGACAAGTTGGATAACTCTGCCTACAATATTGACAGAATTATGCCCCTTTGAAACTTAGAAATTTTGGTTAAATATTTTTTGTAAAGTCAAATATCTCAATTATTGCTTGAGATATTCAATTGAAATTTACAACACTTTTTTATAGTAACAATGTACATCATTTTGCAAAATTGCATAACTCTGTCTGCAATATTTGCAGAATTATTTGCCCCTTTGAAACTTAGAAATTTTGGTTAAAGGTTTAAGGTCTTCAAAGATATTAACTTGAAACTTTACACATGTACTTAGGGTCATAATTTGAGGGTCATAATTGTATGTCACTGACCAAGTTCCATAACTCTATCTTGCATTAAGGCTGATTCATATCCCCTTTTCTACTTAGTCTCTTGGTTAATGTTTACATGCAAGTTTTACATATCTCAATAACTATTAAAGATATTTATTTAAAACTTCACATATGCATTTAGGGTCAGAATTGTAGGTCACTGACAAAGATCCATAATTCTATCTTGCATTTAGGCTGATTTTTCTTCCCCTTTTCAACTTAGAAATTCATGATAAAGTTTTGCTTGTAAGCTGTTAGCTCCATAACTACTGAAGGGTTTGTGCCTTTTTTGGGACAACTTTATGCATTCATAATAATAAAGAAGTGATTTACTTGATAAAACATCTTAATAACAAGCCTTTGTACCTTTTCTGTCAAATTTATGTATTAATAGGTAATGAGTATTATTATATTCAATAAAACACCCTAATGTCCTTCCAAATAGTCAAGCCAATACTGTATAATTAGACTTCCTCTAAGGCCTATAACATGAATTTATAAAAAAAGATTAGCCCTTTGGTGAACTTAGAAAATTTAACATTATCAAGGCTCTTTTACTATCAAGCACTTAGAATAGTCGAGCGTGCTGTCCTACCGACAGCTCTTGTTATAGTAACAATGTACATCAGTTTGCAAAATTGCATAACTCTGCCTGCAATATTTGCAGAATTATTTGCCCCTTTGAAACTTAGAAATTTTGGTTAAAGGCTAAAGGTCTTCAAAGATATTTACTTGAAACTTTACACATGCACTTAGGGTCATAATTGGAGGGTCATTATTGTATGTCACTGACCAAGTTCCATAACTCTATCTTGCATTAAGGCTGATTCATATCCCCTTTTCTACTTAGTCTCTTGGTTAATGTTTACATGCAAGTTTTACATATCTCCATAACTATTAAAGATATTTATTTAAAACTTCACATATGCATTTAGGGTCATAATTGTAGGTCACTGACAAAGATCCATAATTCTATCTTGCATTTAGGCTGATTTTTCTCCCCTTTTTCAACTTAGAAATTCATTTGTAAGCTGTTATCTCAATAACTACTGAAGGGTTTGTGCCTTTTTTGGGACAATTTTATGCATTCATAATAATAAAGCAGTGATTTACTTGATAAAACATCTTAATAACAAGCCTTTGTACCTTTTCTGTCAAATTTATGTATTCATAGGTAATTAGTATTATTATACTCAATAAAACACCCTTGTGACATTACCTTCCGAATAGTCAAGCCAATACTGTTTAATTAGACTCTCTCTAAGGCCTATAACAAGAATTTATAAAAAAAATTAGCCCTTTTGTAAACTTAAAAAATTTAACAATATCAAGGCTCTTTTACTATCAAGCACTTAGAATAGTCGAGCGTGCTGTCCTACAGACAGCTCTTGTTATATTTATTTTGCAGGAAAACATTAATCATTAAGTACTGTAGATTTTCGTGTAAAAACTGCATTGAAGTGTAAACATCAACATGAATATTTACAGTGTATGTTATAGTAATATCAATGAATTAATTGTCACCTTAGTGCAATAAGTGATTAACTCCTATTAAATTTAGAAGGACTTATTCCGTTATTGCACTAAAGTGACGTTAAATAAATAAATGTTTGATGTTATTATCTCTCTTAAACTTTGATCTTGTATATACATGTACATTATATGGAAGAAGCACGGAGAAAAAAAAAAACTTGATGAAATTTATATTACAGACTGTTCATAAGATGAGTGCTTGCCCGAAGGTTATTGACATCAGTAAGAGGAAGCCTGGAACCGACCCAGTATCTATGGTAACCAACCCACAACAACAACTTGTACGCAACACTGCCAACCTAACAGTTCTAGAAAAGAAAACACAAGAGGTATGGTTTAATATCGGGCAAAATATTGTTTATTATAATCTGAGGTTACACACAATTTCCAACTTCTAAAGTATTCAGGTACAAAAAGCTTTGCTACAGGCCTATTTTCTGTTTCCCATGCAAGTCAACTGGCCTTTGTTTTGAATTTTTAATGCTAGTGCAATAGTTATTGTTATATGATTTTGTTTGAAACAGACCTTACACTTACAGGAATTGATTAAAATGACGTTAAAGGTCAGATAAAAGTAGTACATGTATAGCGGGCACTGTTACATTTTTGTTAGACTGATAAAATTTAGCGGCATGTAACCATAAAAATAATCTACAAAAACACAATACCATCATTTTATAGTACATTTTATTAGCTCACCTGTCACTTTGTGACAGGGTGAGCTTTTGTGATCGCTTTTCGTCCGGCGTCCGTAAACGTTTACTTTAAATGACATCTCCTCATAAACCACTAAGCCAATTTCATCCAAACTTAACAGGAATGTTCCTTTGGTGATCTACTTTGAAAATTGTTCAAAGAATTTAATTCCATGCAGAACTCTGGTTGCCATGGCAACCAAATGAAAAAACTTTAAATATCTTCTTCTAAAAAAGCCAAAGAGCTAGAGCTTAGATATTTGGCATGAAACATCTTCTAGTGAGTGTCTACCAAGTTTGTTCAAATAAAAGCCCTGGGGTCAAAATTGGCCCCGCCCTAGGGGTTCATTGATTTTCCCTATATGTAAATAGTAAAAACTTAAAAAATCTTCTTTTAAAGAACCCAAAGAGCTAGAGCTAAGATATTTAGCATGAAACATCTTCTAATGGGTGTCTACAAAGTTTGTTCAAATAAAAGCCCTGGGGTTAAAATTGGCCCCGCCCCAGGGGGTCATTGATTTTTCCTATATGCATATAGTAAAAACTTAAAAATCTTCTTTTAAAGAACCCAAAGAGCTAGAGCTAAGATATTTAGCATGAAACATGTTCTAATGGATGTCTACCAAGTTTGTTCAAATAAGAGCCCTGGGGTCAAAATTGGCCCCGCCCCGGGGGACATTGATTTTCCTTATATGTGTATAGCAAAAACTTAAAAATCTTCTTCGAAAAAACCCGAATAGCTAGAGTGTAGATATTAAGCGTGAAACATCTTCTAGTAAGTGCCTACAAAGATTGTTCAAATAAAAGCCCTGGGGTCAAAACTGGCCCTGCCCCAGGGGTGTCATTGTTTTTAAATATATGTGTAAAGAAAAAACTTAAAAAACTTCTTTCAAAAAATCCAACGAGCTAGACCTTTGATGTCTAGCATGAAACATCTTCTAATGGGTGTCTACCAAGTTTGTTCAAATAAAAGCCATGGGGTTTAAACTGGCCCCGTTCCGGGGGGCCTATATACAGGTGAGCAACTTCAGGGCCATCATGGCCCTCTTGTTAGTATTTTTGTTATTAAACAATAAATATCCTTCAGATCCAAGTTGACCTTCCATTCAGCTCCAAACATTGAATTGACCTCAGCCTTCAGCTTTGGTTCGTTAAATGTTTGTTGGATGACTAAACATCACTATGATTCTATGAGGCCTATAGTGCTTTGTACTATTTCTTAATTGATAAATATGTTATCAATACTTTTATTTGATTTCAGTTACAAGTACAAGTAACAATGTTATTAGCTGCAAATAGAACAGGTGGACAGGTCAGGACAGACTTCTCCGTCTTCCCAACCCCAGAGTTTGCCAGGGTACGTTTGTATGATTTTACAGGGGAAACAATGATATTGTTTAGATGTGAAGAAATTAACCACCCAAGCTGGCAGTCTTCGTGGTCAATTTCTTCATATCAGATGAATAGCCTAAGAATAACCTGCACACCAATATTATTTCATAAATAAAGAAACAACAAACAAACAGTCTGTAAAATTAAATTTTGATAGAGTAATAACTGTGAATATCTGCAACACAGGAATGTGAAAATAACGAAAGAGCAAAAGCAACACAAAAAATTTCTTTTGCAAGTTGTTGTTTCCTTGAGCAAGAAATTACATGCATTACTTTACTAAGTACTGGTTGGTTCCAGGAACAGATTTGAGAGTGTTGCAATAAGCTTATAGTTTCCAACACAATCAAACTAAAAGAAATTTGCATATAAACTTAAAAGGTCATCTTAAATGTGATGATATAGTACTATTACCTTATGGTCATGATGAGTTGTAAAATTCACCTGTGTTTTTATTATTTCCATTTCCAGGTGTTACATGAGAAGACAAAAGATAGTATTCTGGTTGGGCGCGTCAAAGTTCCGGCTACTGGAGGCAAGGGGCAGATAATTCCGATAAATATACAACCAAACCAATTACAAAGTCTTCATGCTAGGCTAGTCACGTGATTCATTGTGCAATATAATTATATAGACTTATATTACAAAAATGTACCTTTTTTTTTCTCCTATTTCAGTACTTGTATATAATTACAGTACTATTATTTAACTAAAATATTCACTTAAAGAGGTTTTTCTTTTGGTGTCAGTTTCTCTAATAACATAATATTGATAGTGGTATTATATAGATTATTTTGAATTTTAAACCTTGTCAAAATAACATTCTCTCCTTTTTGGCTATGTTTTGACCATATTTGAAATAAGTGTAAATAATTATTGTTATCAAATTGTTTTGACATGTTTTTGAATTAATTTGAATTATAAAACTGTTTGATTGCAAAAGATAAGGGCATTTTTAACCAAAAATTGAAGACCATATATGAGCCGCGTCACGACAAAACCAACATAGTGCATTTTCGACCAGCATGGATCCAGACCAGCCTGCGCATCCGCGCAGTCTGATCAGGATCCATGCTGTTCGCTATCAGTTACTCTACTTGTAATCACCCATTATGTTGGTTTTGTCATGGCGCGGCTCATATGAAATTTCCTTGTAGACTCACATATTTGTTACCTACAAAACCATGATACCATACTGTGATAGGTTGAAAAACCTTTATTCTAGGAACCTTTTTTTTTCTTCAAATATTTACAAGGACCTGTTTGTGTGTGATTTATGAAAAAAGTGCTTTATTGTGATATAAAGAAACATCATTTGGGGAGAAAAAAACCAAATCTAAACTAATAAGCTCTAATTAATTATTTGATATTTATGTATGGAATTGTTAAAACATAGTTAACTTCCAGTTATTATGTGGAAATAAAATCATTTTATTATTACCATAATAAATAAATGTATCTTTAATAAGGACAGGAAGTTTACAATATATTACATACCCAGATCGGGATGAAACCACTTATCATTTTAAAATAATGTTTCAAAATATGTGTTGACTGAATAGTGACCAGTGCAGACAATAATCAGGCAACTCGCATGTGCGGACTGATCTTGGTCTGCACCTTTGGTCCGCTAGCCACCTGCTGGCTGAGGGTTAAAGTTTAAGTGATCAAAAATGCTGATGGACCTGTATACGTTTAACTCTGGTATGACTGTATGTTAGTTAAGAGATTACATTCAACCTATTACTAGTATATGTAAGTTTATTTAAGCACCATTTAAAAATGTGTTCATACTTTATTTATTCATCAGCATTTTATGTCAATAATTGACCTTTACAGTCAAGCAGACCAAATGTCTCCCATCTTAGTTCGTTTTATTTTGTTTTATATTTGAGGACAGATATCTCAAGGGTTGCAAAACTACTGTAAGTCCTTATATAATTCATATAAGTTGCTATAGTTTTGCAGTCAACCCTTGATCTCGCAAGTTTCTATGAACAATTTTGTGAAACTACATATCTGGCCCACTGCAGGTTTCAAATTTTACTTTTACGGTGCCCAAAACAAATTTTCAATATTTTGCAAGAACTGTTCGATTTTAATGTCTTGCAAATTCTGGTTAATTTTTTTCGGGTCAAATATTGACATTATTTATATGTATAGTGAATTTCTCTTTAAAGGAATTCTATATACTGGTACTTTTGTTTTTGAAGTTAATCTTAAGCCATATTGCTTCTTAGATTTAATTATGCAGTGTAGGGCTTTTCCTTTTACATCTGTATAATCAATATCCAGCCTTACATTTGATTGGCTTATCAAAATTTAAAATAGACCAATGATAGAGCTGCAGTGATAATGAACTGGTATGTAATTTATATACATGCGCAATTTGCTTTATTTTGTTGTGAGTTTTTCAGCAGATCAGTTTTTGTTTGTGTTATTGCAACTTAATGTTTAAAGATATTTATTAAAGCATATGTTAGTTATTTGGTTCCTCTAGTAGTATCGTGTAAGTCATGTTTAACAACAAAATTTGTTTTAATTAGGTCGGTCATGAGCTTCTATTGTTCAAAGGGGATATTAGCATGTGGTGATATTTAATTGGTGAAAGTGCTTTCAATATTAATGGAAACGTTGCTTCTATGTTGTCCTTAATAAAGAGTTAAAAAAATAATACAGACTAGTTTGTTTTGATTGTTTACCATCTGACATCTTTGTTTCAAACAGTGACATACTAGTAAATATTAGAATGACAACCTAATGTGACATAATAATTGACTTGCATGAAGAAATGTGAACTGGTTTCTAAATGCATCTCAGGTGAGCGATCCAGGGCCATCGTGACATTCTTGGTAGATGAACAGGTTTAATACCTTATATTGCTTAAGGTAATTTCATTGTTATAGACAAACTAAGGAATTACGAATATTTGTTTTCCCCCAGCTAATCCATAGGTACAAGTAAAAATACAGTTACAGTTTTCGAAAATAAGTGCAGCAGATTGTCTAATCTATTGTGATGGGTTGTGCATGGTGTAGCTATAATGGTAAAGATTTTATTGTACCAACGGATTAGCTTGCTAAGTTCCTTCTAGTGGTTTTAATGCTTTTTGAAGGGTGAGCATTTAGTCGCTGCTTTGTCCGTCCGTCCGCTATTCTTGTCCGGGACATAACTTTGAAACAACAAGAGGTATCAACATGAATCATTGTAGGAAGATAGATCTCATTGAGTAGAAGTGCAGTGCAAAAGAACCATAACTCTCTTACCTGATTTTGGAGTTATTGCCCTTTGTTCATTTTAACACGTTGAACTTTGTCCGGGACATAACTCTTAAACCATAACAGAAATCAACGTGAAACATTGTAGGTAGATAGATCTCATTGAGAAGAAGTGCAGTGCAAAAGAACCATAACTCTCCTTTGCTTAATTTTGAAGTTATTGCCCTCTGTTCATTTTTACACTTAGAACTTTGTCTGTGACATAACTCTGACACTTCAAAAGGTATACTTTCCTTTGTCCAAAACCTATTCGGGGAGCGTTATGTATAAATCTTGAGGCAATTTAGGTGTTTTCTTCAACATGTTCAATTCATCATATTTATAAATAAATGTATTACTTTTAGCACGCTGAATGACTTTCAAGTGACCAAAAGTACCTTTTATTGATAAAAATTGGGGGGAAAACTTTTCATTATTTTATTGCAAATTCTTCTTATCACTTGCTTCTCACTGCTTTGGATTAAAATCACGCCAATGATTCTTTAAATGAATTCGTCCTGTTTTGAATTCAAAATTGCCCGTGATCCATTGCGGATATTTTAGAAATTAAATTGCTACTTAAAGATAAAAACAGTGGAGTCTGATTCGGGTGCATGAATACTGATTGACCTGGCTGTAATCCTATGGCATATGCAAATCTCTTTCGGTACTAGTATTCAAAGTACATGGTACAATGGTGCAAGTTTATCAGAAAACCTAAACCTTGAACTAAGCATTATTTTGATTGGTTTTGTATAAAAAGAGACTGCTTTTAGGAGTATAAAAAGACCTGAATTTAAGGCAAGTGTTTGAAAACTTGTACCCATGCATGTATTGAGTAAAAGTAGGAGACGTTGGGCAAACGACACTCTGATGCAGACGACACTTTCATTGCATAAAAATAAATAACCAGGTCTAAAAAAGATTTTTATATAAAAATTTATTCACATAATTTTGATTTTCATGACAAACATTCAAATCAAAATTCGAGTCTGAAGGAATTAAAAGCATCAAGCAAAATACATGGTATTTACTTCGCAAAATAATACTGTATTCTATTAGTGAGCATTTCTATAAGCTATCATACATTTAGTAAAGTGTTCGATGCTTCAATACGTCACCGAATATACCCATCGACACATATTTTCAACATCTATATACAACCATTTTAAAGACAGTTTATACTTAATTGAATTATATTCAATTCAATTAAAAAAAGTATTTGTTTCTGTTAAGTCATTTGCACTAAGAAACAGTAAACAATAAATTCGAATCTATCATCGAATTCGACAAAGCACATGTCGTCTGCCGCATAGATAGGCCTACGTAATGTACATGGTCATTGTACACCATAAGTAGTTTTAGTTGATTATGGCCTTTTTTCCTGACCCATTTCATTTTGTCTCTCGGTATATAATTAAATACGTCGTCCATTTTTTTTAGAAGTATGAAACGTGTAACATATTATCAACATTTCTTCTGGTGTGTACTTAGTGGCAGGTTTTCAAATTTGATATAAGAAAATATTGACAATACAATCTCTTTGTAAATATAAAATAAGCATGTTTTAACTTCATACAAAGAAGATATGCTAAACACTAAAAATAGTCACAATATAAATACGTAGTGTCATTATAAAGACTGGCAGTTTTTTTTAAAAATGACCAACTTTACGTGTCCCGTAATAGGGAACGCAGCCTCCCATATATGACTTTTTCATTCTTTTAATTCAAATTGGTCACATTATGTAAGAATTTCATAGATTTCAATACATTTCAATGACTAAAATATTTTACTCGGGGATGAGCATAATATATCTTTAACTTGATTGTTACCACGGTATTCAGTTTCCAACAATAGTTAAGAAAATATGAACAAGTCTATTAAAGCGCGGACAATCAGTTATATATACTATGTACATGTCTATAATAATTACACATGTCCTTCCCAAACACTGTGCACCTCTCCTGGGCAAGGATCGTGTTGAGTGGTGACTGTACTTCTTTTATTAATTTCCGCCATCTTGTCCATTAAAGATTCCATAGAATTGGCACATGGTCTCCCTTTTTCATGCAGACAATTTTGGCACATTATTTCTGTAAGCTGATGAGGCGCACTCTCCAGATTGTCAAATCCATCAAGGCCAATATCATTTGGGTCAAAGCTGTTTTCAGAAATAACTGACGGATCTGGCGGGAAAAATGAAATGTCACATGACGGACATTCTGTTCCACTCATGTGCGGTCTATAAATAGAAGTGTTGTAATTGGTTGATGGACATTGGAGATGGCCGTTTGTAGTTGCATCTTCCCATAACGGACTGTAATCTTCTGGTGTGTGACCCGGCTTGTAAGAAAGTACACTAGCTCCACGCCCCGAGTCATTCGAAACATAACGCTCTCGTCGAGATTCTGAAGCACCTAGAAACATTACTTCCGGTACAAAAGTTTGAAGCGGTTGCACGCTTCCGTTTGTTGCGTTGTCCGTTTGTTGACTACAGTTACTGTCATTGCATGCTTTAGATCTAGATAAGTTTATGTATTGCCCATGACTAAGTTCATTGGTGATGCCATTCTTGCCTGTTAAGTTTGGGCTCATTCCGCCGCTTGCGTAAACAACAGATTTATATTGGTCCATTGTTTGTTTTGGAAATGCGGATTTTACCGCTGAAACAAAATCCTGTTTCTCTCTGGTTAAAGAATAACATTTTAAAGCGGTTTTTGATTGCGGGACAGGTAGCTTTTCTTCAAAAGTTACAGCACAGATTTGTGCTACAAACCGTCTTGTACGCGGAATACCAGCACGCACAGTTGACAAGTATTCGGATAAATTCTCGTTTGTGAAACTGGACACCAGAAAACAAATAAGAACACTAACGGCATCATCTTCCGAATGTTTTAGATCCGTTCCTTGCACCTTTGAGTTTGCATAAGGGGTGGAATAGTTCGGATAATTTCGTTGATTGAGTACAAGAGCAACTTTTGAAGAAGCGTTCTTTTCGGATATACCTACTTTTCGGATAAACTTGGCTTGAATATTTAAATCGTTTTCCAAAATGAATCGGAACTTGGACAAATCTTCCCGTGGAAAGTTAACGTCGATGCATAACACATGCAAGATATCTGTAAAATACAAATCGCGAGATTGACAAAAGACACTAGATGACAATATGAAATACATGTCAACAACTTTTTATGCAAGTTAATAATCTATTATATTCCACCATCTTCCATCATGAGGATAATGAGAAATCTTTAGCATTAAAAAAGACTTTTTTAATATCTTTTTGTCATCAATCTACACTTCACATGTACAAATATGAATAAAACACCCTTCTTATCCGGAAACCTTTCTAAACCGAACTTTTCTTCTGGTCCGGACGAATTTGTTATAAACGTACCTGCTCTACAAGTTTTGTTCTGCCCAATTACACATTCAATGCCAAAGTGTCTAGCCAAAACTGCAAGAAAGCAATATTTAAACACTAGTATGGCTAACAAATATGAGCCGTGTCACGACAAAACCAACGTAATGCGTTTGCGACCAGCATGGATCCAGACCAGCCTGCGCATCCGCGCAGTCTGATCAGGATCCATGCTGTTCGCTATCAGTTTCTCTACTTGTAATAGGGTTTGTACGCGAACAGCATGGATCCTGATCAGACTGCGCTGATGCGCAGGCTGGTCTGGATCCATGCTGGTCGCAAACGCAAACGCATTACGTTGTTTTTGTTGTGACGTGGCTCATATATAATTTTAACATGCAAAATACATACATGTATACAAATACTTTTGCGTATTCTATTTGGCATTTCATTGTAACGATTGATTTTCGAGGCAATGTGGCCTATTTGACTGGGTCATCAAAGTTTTACGTTGAAAACGTGCCATAAGATTTAAAACCGCCATTAAGCAGCCATGTTTTCATCTGCAGAAACAATTCTACCCATCGAATAAATATGTTTAAGTACATTCATGTGTTTTTAAATTATTTTTAGCTTATGCCACTGAGGTCAGAGTGAGCCTTTAATTATATGTTATTTGAACATTGAAAATCTCCTCCTAAACAAAATATTGCCGGAATAATCCTATGGCAATGCAGGTTTATAGCAATACCTAGCGGGCCACTTCCTATGTAATTCCAATCATGAATCTAAAGTCAAAATTGCTTTTGCGAGGGTCACTTTATTTTAAACAGAAATTCATAGGAACAACTTTAAATAACTCCAAAGCCGTTTAGACTATGTTGAACATTTTATAATAATATATACTATATATCATTAAATGGATCTCTACAAAGATTGTTTAAATTTACGGGAAAATGTTCGCCCAGCCGCCAACACTTAATTCTGCACGTAAAGCTTATAACTATTAGCATTTTTTTTCCTGAAACCACAAGACCTGGAGCTGAAATTGTGTGTACCAGACTATGCAATTATTCTTGCATAATTTTTGATGCCAAACCAAGTTAACATTTGTTTTTCACGGATGTAGAATTGTATATTTAATTTCTTAAAACTGCACGTGCACAACAGCAGACGTAAAGGCAACAGCAGACGTGAAGCAAGTATGTCCGACGATTGTCCGTAGTCCGTTTGACTTGAATTTATTCATTGCGCATTTACTTTATTTTTATTCTTTTATCCTCATCTATTTTTTGTGCACATTTACTCCGCCGAATAATTCAAGATCAGAAATCAGCGAACATGAAATTGTTACTATCACAGATAAAATCTACTTACTTTTATATAGTACAACTAACACTATTGTAATGATAACGAGGGCACCCAATCCGATGAGAACTTCATGAAGATAACCCTCTGGTTGTTCATCTGGTACTTCCTCTGGCATTACTGTTAAAACATGCAAAACCATTCAAATTTTATATCTTTAAATCTCGTGTTCTTATAGAAATCATACAGATTCATGCTTATTTTCATGAAAATTTTGAAAATGTATTTGAATGTGTAATATTGTGGAGTAACCAAAAGGTAGCAATTTACACATTATAAATGGCAACACGTAAATCACCAAAAAAAGTGGTCAAATTTGCATATATATCTTATTACATTTTTCTCAGTACATTTTTCTCAAGTTTGATTTTGTTAAAATATTTTTGACTCATCTGGCATGCCTGTGGGCATGTAACTTTAAAGAAGTTACAATGTATTTAAAACAGGGTCTTTTGAATTTCTATTTACAAGCTCATATGAGACGAAAATAGTTATAATTTTTTTTCATGAATTAAACATTTTTGTTCTACTTAAAGGCCCATTTTTCTACAAATGGTACCGTTTTCATTTTTCTATACTATTATTTTGGTGACCTGTTACAGCTCCAAAATTATTACTCATTGGCCATATTGCTGATCCATATTTTGCTTCTTTTGCGTTTTGGCAATTTGTACAGTTATAGTATTTTGTATGGAAGTCAAAATACCAATTTGTTTACATTGTTACCTTTATCGCAAATTATTTCTAAATTCAGTGCTATTTTCTTCAAGTGACAAGCATCTCGCATGTTCTAAATCCATGATTACCCCATAACATTACATTACATTACATTCCATTTCATCATGTTTCTCTTTATACAAAAGAAAAAAAGTTTAAGGTGTTGAAGTGATTTTTCTTAATGCATAATTATACTTTACCAATAATAATTTCCCAATAAGTTAATTGGCAAGGTTTACAGATATTTTCATCATCCCTACACACACAGCGGTCTTCATCATGTGGATGTTCGTTATACGGTCTCATCTACAAGATAAAAGTAAGTAATGTTGGCTCGAAACCACTAAATATAGTTAACATAGAAGTTGTCCGTCTGTAAATTTGGTTCAAACATTCAAGAAGTGTGTTGTTGCGGTGAAGAATTCAAACAATTTTAGTTTTAGTTAGGTAACGCCAGTGCTGTTGAAGCAAGTTGGAAGAAGTCATACTACGTATTAGTTATTAAAGATTTTGACAGGTTATATGGTCAAATGGATTATTTCATAGATACCTAGATATAGATCGTAAATACCTAGAAGAAATTATGATTTTATAATTAACTCACATACAACGTGTAATTCCCCGGTTCTTGGTTTGCAAAAGAAACCTCGGTCTGAAAGAAAAATCAAAGTACTGAAATGAAGCAGTTGGCTAAATTGTAAATCTGACGCGGTTATTTAACGTAAAATTTTACCCATCCAATGGTATGAAGTGATTCAATAGGTTCGTCTTGCCAAAATTCCTTTCAATTTTATAATCTACTTTGCATGATCGATAGATAACTCACGTGACCCAAGGAAATTTATTTAAATATCAATCAGAATTGACCTGTAACTCTTAATTAATAAAAGAGTGGGGCTGTCTTTTTATATTTTAGGTAGACTTATATTGCAACTGTTGGTCAATAACCATCGTAACAGCCAAGTTTTTGAAATATATAGTCAATTCAGCTGAACTTAACAATGAAACTATGAGCATAATACCATTGTAAATAGATAAAAGCGCATTGTAGACATAGTTAAAGTAAAGCAAAGTAATGATAACAAAATAAGGCTAAAGAGTTTAAATGGCGTAATGAGGCAAGTTGGAACAAATTAGAATAAAATAAATTTTGTTGTTTGTTTGATAGGATTTTGCGTAACACCGACACAGTTAAGGTCATGTGGTGATGTCAAAGCTTTACTGGTGGAGGAAAACCCCAGGTGCCCATCCGTGCATTATTTCAGGTACGAACTGGCACCCGAGTAGAACCACCGACATTCCGTATTAAATACTGTAATACTGTGTACCTTAGGATATAGTACTGTAAGATGCCACAAATTAAAACAAACTAATGTAATATATTGTGAATAAGGATAAAAAATGTATTTTAATATAATATAATATACAGTGAATAACGATAGAGTAATGTAATAAACGACATATTAGGGTAAAGTAATGTAATAAACGACATATTAGGGTAAAGTAATGTAATAAACGACATATTAGGGTAAAGTAATGTAATAAAAGACATATTAGGGTAAAGTAATGTAATAAACGACATATTAGGGTAAAGTAATGTAATAAAAGACATATTAGGGTAAAGTAATGTAATAAACGACATATTAGGGTAAAGTAATGTAATAAACGACATATTAGGGTAATGCAATGTAATAAACGACATAGCAGGGTAAAGAACTGTTATAATCGACATATCAGAGTAAAGAAATGTAATAAACGACATATGAGGGTAGAGTAATGTAATAAACGACATATGAGGGTAGAGTAATGTAATAAACGACATATTAGGGTAGAGTAATGTAATCAACGACATATTAGGGTAAAGTAATGTAATAAACGACATATGAGGGTAAAGTAATGTAATAAACGACATATTAGGTAAAGAAATGTAATAAACGACATATGAGGGTAGAGTAATGTAATAAACGACATATTAGGGTAGAGTAATGTAATAAACGACATATTAGGGTAAAGTAATGTAATAAACGACATATTAGGGTAAAGTAATGTAATAAACGACATATGAGGGTAACATAATGTGATTAAAATAGTGAATAAAGTAGTGTAAACTAAATTTATTGTAACTAAATATAGAACTAAAACAGTGTATAGTTATAGGTTTTTAGTATTATATTTATATTTAACCCGGGAACAAGCAGTTATTTGCTTATCGAAACATAGAAATCACAGAGAAATTAAAAGATACCATAATTATATATTATTTAATTAAAAAAATATATTAATGCTTACCGTATTTGATGTCAAGGTTGTTGGTTTGCTATCTGTAAGTAAAATATCTGTTCGTAAAAGATCTAGCTGAAATCTGGTAATATTAAATTCTAGCGGTGGTGGTGGGAACCAGATAGTTAATATTTTTTCAGGCCACTTATATGAGTCATTATATTCAGCCGGAGTCCAGTCAGCCGATGATGAGCCTCGTTCTGAAAATAACGTAGAATTCATTGAGTACATTTTAGGAGTTACGAGGCGTCCGTTGTCGACTGGTATAGGTAGCTGACTTGAAACCAACCACTTTTCCCTCGTCGTTTTGGGTTCAAATATCGTCATGGACTTTTGATTCTTTCATGCGAGGAATATATCCAGCAAGATTACGTTTGTGCCTAATGATGCACGGAGTCTTCCTCCATCACTAAAGCTGTAAACTCGCCATATGATCTTTACTGTGTTGGTGCGACAACAACAACAACAACAAGAAAAGCAACTGCCAGTTCGGAACCACACTCGATTTTTTTCTTATTTCTTATGTCAAACACGTATTAAGGAAAGAATATTTAGTGCAAAAAAACTCCTAGAAAACAAAAATGTCTTGAACAAAAAAGATTTAAATTTCATTTCTGACTTTGATAGTCAAGGTTATTCAAAGGTCAATGTCACATTTGAATTAATCATCATGCAATATGTGTTATTTTGTCTTGTTTTAAAGCAAATCTGTAAATAAATAATAAATAATAAAGCTATGACTATTTGTGCAAATTTCAATAATTTGACTTGACGGTCAATGTCATTTAAAGGTCAGTCATATTAGAAAATGTTTTTCCCCAAATTTATCCTTTTATCCAAGTATAAATCAAATCTGTAGATGTATAACAAAGTAATGACAATTTAAGAATATTTCAATACTTTAACCTTGATGGTCAAGGTCATTTTTAGTGAAGGTCAAGTTCAATCTGGTCAACTTGAAGGTTTTATCAAAGGGATTGATTTGTTTAAGTATGAATCATAGTGTTTTTTTTTAAAAAAACATAAGAAAAATGACGGTTTTAGAATCGAGACATCTTCGTTATAAATTCATTACATTCAATCAAATTTTGAGTTCTACAAACCTTTCAAAAAGGTTTTATCCCGAAATCAAGTGCCTATGGTATGAACGTAATCCGTTAAAAAAAAGAATTATGGCCAACGTTGAGATTTTTATAACAGCAACTTGACTGTAGCAATATTTTTTTTTATTTCGAAAAAGTAGAATTAAAAAGCGAGTATTTATGTAAAGATGATGTGACAAGCTATAAAATATAAACAAAATCAACGTTGATATATATATTGACAAAATCAATAACGTAAAACAACTTAAGCATGCAACTTACTGCAATTCATAGAAGTGACCTTTTTATGGCTTGAGATAGAATCATTTGCTCTGGGTAAACTGTGTAGAACGATCATGTAATTCTGATTTCTTTTCACAGGAAACATGGTTATGTTCAGAGAAAACTGAAATGAATAAAATCATTAACATCTTTTCCAACCCTTTAAACTATTTGCTAGATTATATGAACACTACGTATAAAATGTGTTTGGTATATAATTAGTCCTTAATTAAGTAACTGTCAAAAGATAAGAAACAAATTCTTTATCTTATCACTTTACTATTTCTAAAACGTTCGTCACTGTTAACTCTTTATAATATAAATACTTAAGAAATGCTATGCCATTTCACGGTGTCTTAGTTTGCCGTGAGATTAGATTTTAAATGGCCTTTTTAGTCACAATGGGTAATCTCAGCAGAACCAGTGGCCTTCTGAGCATAAGAAAGAAATCATCGACCAACGACGGAAGTGACGTAAGCAATCATTCGGCATATGCCTGACAAATACGTTGGTCGCTCAACTGTAATTTGTTTTGATACTGACATCGCTTAAACTAGAAATAATCTCTTTAAAATTCTAAACAGGACAATCTCAAGGTTAAAAAAGGTTTACTGAGGATTCCAAATGGTTAAAATGCAAAACGACTGATTTCTCAATGAGGGCCATACCATACAATGATATATAGTACTAATAATATTTAACTTTTAACGAGAAAGTAGGTCACTGTTAACACATTTTTATTAAACTATTTGAAATCTGGCCTTCTGTGTGCAGCTGATTTAACTGCTTCTTACAATGTACCTAGAACTCCAAATGTTGTGGCAGACGAAAATTAACTGCAAAAAGGACATTCTTATGAACATTTAAGTCATAGAAAAGGGTGCGCATTAATAATCATGTAATTGTGAACTACTTTTAAAGGACAGTATCGTGCATTCCGTGTTGAAAAAAAAATCTAAATATAACTCGTATTACGTGTCTATTAAACTGTGTGGGTTTTTCATGTAAAATCACCACAAGGCACCGGAAGTTGGGAGGATCTAGTTCAAGGTGAAATTCATATCCAGCTATACCCCCAGCATTATCTGTAAACGAAAATAATAAAAGTAAAATTTATATAACTTAATTATGAAGCGGCAAAAACTCAAAGGTATTGTATTAATGTCTGAATTGTGACAGACCAATAATTGATAGTAAAAAATGCTTAGGATAAGATATAAAAACTACCTAAATTATAAAAAAAAGAGAATCTTTTAGAGAATTTAACGTTTACAATACATTCCGAGCGATATTTATATAAATCTCCGTAGATCACGTGGATTATTGAATATTTTTGCCTAGTTAAAAAACATTGAACACAATTATGGCAAAATGTAAAGATATTTTGACTTTACCTTTTGCACTCACCATTTACACTTGGATTGGCATAATGTCACTTAACAGTTGCGGTACTTATGTTTATCAAATGCTTAATTTGATAAGAAATTTTTTACATGTATTTGAGAAAAAGTAGTTTTATTTTTTTTAAAAGAAGAAAAGTGTAAAGCGTATTTACAGGAGTCTGGCATCTTCCAATACACGTGCAGCCCTGATTGGTTGACGCCTTTGGAGTCCGGCTCACAGAAGGAGGACGGTTTGATTGCCTCATCTCTAGGTGGTTCCCGTTTCCACCCAGTTTTATTGTACAATTTAGGAAATCTTGCTTGTAGGTTATCAAAGAAACACTCGCCTGGAAAAAAATACGAAGGCATTTTATTGAATTTTAAGTCCGAATATATAAGTAGAAAGAAAAATTAATTTTACCATAATTCAAATCCAATTATTACTTAAGAAATCGCACAAATCACTATTGGCCTCGTAGCATTATAATGACTGATCAGTCAGCCCACAAACATATAATGGATCGAAGCCACAGGTGGAAATCTGTTCAATATTTGCGGCTGACTGGGAGGCCACTATAGTGAGGTCTGAAGTAATGTGTACTTTTTCTTACATTAAACCGCACTTTATTAGAACAAAATGGTGAAAGTACGAAAAAAGAAATAATATTATTCATTACAAGTTCTGGCGTGGGTTCGATCCCCGGGAGATGCTTTGGTAGTTTAGCGCGGAGGAAGGTAGTCTAGTACTAGTGTAACTCTCCAGGAACAATGGTTAGGAAACTACCCGCCTATATGACTGAAATACTGTTGGGAAAAGGCGTAAAATGAAACAAACAAACAAATCCAAGTAAAGTATACTGAAAACGTTTGGCATTCAGCTTGTATAATGTGCATTTTGTAAAATTTTCCTCGCGGTTATATGCCACTAAATTTTTGCGGTCCGATAAAAACATAATAGTACATGGAATAACTATAGTATTTGAAGCCATTCTAACCCAACTAATTATGTTCTTGTATGCAACTACTGAAATGGTCCAATTATTCAAAAACAAAATATCTATAACATATAATACATGTAAATTAGAAATCCGAGAATTACTACAACCGTTTCAACATTTAAACACAAATGTTATACGTTGGTTTAAATTGCCCATAAATAGATCGTATATATTATTCGGTTGCCTTCCCTATCCGTTATTTTGCAAAGCATTTTGTAAAACAAGATTTGTTACTCCGGGCCATATCGTCTCTATTTCAGTAAAACATACGGACAGCGGCGAAATATCCCGAATGAACAAGAAATTAAATCTGTACATGTGAGAGCGTTTTAAGTCTTTAAAAGCTAAAAGAAATTTAACCAATGATATTGTATTCCGAATCTTTTCTAAATAATTATGTCAAATCATTATGATGCTCATATTTTAAATAAATGAGCCGTGTCATGACAAAACATAATGGGTTTGCGACCAGCATGGATCCAGACCAGCCTGCTTATCTGCGCAGTCTGATCAGGATCCACGCTGTTCGCTTACAAACCCTATTACAGGTAGAGAAACTGATAGCGAACAGCATGGGTCCTGATCAGACTGCGCGGATGCGCAGGCTGGTCTGGATCCATGCTGGTCGCAAACCCATTATGTTGGTTTTGTCATGACGCGGCTCAAATGTAGCATAGGAGTATTCAGTCTTACGATAAGTTTTGAAACATTCCATAGTCGCATTCAGTTTGGACTGGAACTGAAAAAAAAAAAAAATAAAACATGATTCTTTCAGACACAAACGAAATTTTGAGTACGAGTTATGTAGCATTGTGTCATTGTATTTTTTATTCGCTTATTAGCACACTTATATCATCTTAATTTCAGTCAATTTGACTTTTTACTTTTTTAATTTTCTATTCTCACTCACTCACTCACTCACTCACTCACTCACTCACTCACTCACTCACTCACTCACTCACTCACTCACTCACTCACTCACTCACTCACTCACTCACTCACTCACTCACTCACTCACTCACTCACTCACTCACTCACTCACTCACTCACTCACTCACTCACTCACTCACTCACTCACTCACTCACTCACTCACTCACTCACTCACTCACTCACTCACTCACTCACTCACTCACTCACTCACTCACTCACTCACTCACTCACTCACTCACTCACTCACTCACTCACTCACTCACTCACTCACTCACTCACTCACTCACTCACTCACTCACTCACTCACTCACTCACTCACTCACTCACTCACTCACTCACTCACTCACTCACTCACTCACTCACTCACTCACTCACTCACTCACTCACTCACTCACTCACTCACTCACTCACTCACTCACTCACTCACTCACTCACTCACTCACTCACTCACTCACTCACTCACTCACTCACTCACTCACTCACTCACTCACTCACTCACTCACTCACTCACTCACTCACTCACTCACTCACTCACTCACTCACTCACTCACTCACTCACTCACTCACTCACTCACTCACTCACTCACTCACTCACTCACTCACTCACTCACTCACTCACTCACTCACTCACTCACTCACTCACTCACTCACTCTTTATTTATTTATTCATTCATTTATTTATCTATTTATCTATTTAAGAAGGGGGTGGTGGGTGCGGGGTTGAAATCATGTAAAGTTCAATGCTATGGTATATCAATGCTTAATCGAGATTGACCGATTATAGAACGAAGGTAAGGCAATATAATAGTATAATTCGCAAAATTACATAAATCTAAAGAATATCTCATTTCTGTGCCAAAAATGTTGCGGTTTATCCAGATGCATTATTTCAAAAGTGTATCATACAATGTTGTTTCATGTACAAGAGTAGTGGTTTCCTTTTCCTTATTTAGCCAGCTTAATGTAAATATTTGCTACAAATGTACTTTTCTCAACGTAATAGTTACCGAGTTGACACATATATAACATGTGTATGTAATGAATATGAAAGTAAATTTAACGATATTTACATTTGAAAAACATTACTCAGATATAATGAAATACATACATTATCATAGCAACATAAATTATTTTAAAATCGATATTGGTTATATTTGTGGCCCAATTATTTGTTTTAAAGCCAAATTATTTCCCATTCCGCGCTATTTTTTTTTCAGATGATCAGCAACTTACATGTTCTTTAATACATTATTCACAACAGTTAAAAAAACACATTTTACCCCTTTCTACTGAATGAAAAGAAAATCATTTGCCTTAATTTTAAGATTTGTTTTGCAGGTTAAAATCTATCTATCGTATATACATGTAAAAAATTTAGCCTTAGATCATCATTTTTGATAACAGTCCCTCAAAAATACATCTATTCTGTTAATAGTCATGCAGATGTACTCTGCGCGCACTTGCACACAACTTACAGGTGTTTACCCTCTTTTATGTGGAACAGACTTTTTGAACAACCCTGTAACAACACGTGTTGTACTAAGCCAGATTGGCTTATCAGTAAATGCTACGTGTTTTGATACCTGCCTCGACATAATATGATCAGCATGCAGTATATTCAGCCAATGTGCATGATGCAAAATTGACTCGATGCAGTGTTTTGGCATACGGAACATAGATAAATAAGATTTGATATGTTACAGGCATGCAGGGTCAAAAATGAAGCAGAAATATTTGTTTGTATTTTTCCGGAGGCCTTTTCCAGAAAGTGGTTAAGTTGTAATCTAAAATGTACGGAAGCGCAGAAGAGACACTCGATACTTCTTTATTACCTCGTGGCATTCTGGTGACCGTTTCATCTGGAAACAATTATATTTTATTTTCGTTTCGAAATGACAACCTGTGTGTGCGCGTCATATGCCTGTTTTATTTCATTACTTTCTTGATAATCAAATACAAAGAGCTATACAAAAAAGAAATCAAATGTTAGTACACTATAAACATTTTCATTTCTTGTTTGGTTTTGTTTCCGCCATACCAGCACTGCAAAATGGTACACTGTGAGTTACATGCCAGCTTAACTGATGATGGGGAGCCTTAGTTGCCAATTAGTTGATAGATTTACAGACACATGTTTTCCGCAAGACATTTTAATTTATTGCAGCATTTCAAAAATGATTAATATAATGATTATAATATTATGTAATTAATCTGTGTTGCATCAGTAAAAATGCCTTAAAGATCCTGTATGTTTTGTGATTAATATTGTTACTGTGTGAATACCACACTTGCAAAAAAATATACATGTATATAATTATGCAAATAAAAATTTTTCAAACATCGAAGAATATAAAAAATGTGTACTGCAAATAATTGTGCACATTATATTTAATCAATAAATTATGTGCATTCATTTTTTATTGGAAAATTTGACTTTGAATTTATAGAAATTAAATTTCTAATTACCTCCCTTTATTAACATGAAATGTTAAATTTAAATAATGCTTATTGGAACTTACAATATTGACAAATCTTAATTTAAGCATCATACTTATGAAATAAAAGCATGAAAAAATGTGTTACAGAATCTTTAAATAGAGCACATCCTCTGTACCGAACATTGTAGGTGGCATTTTTGCCGTTCTTTTTTTCTAATTTCTCGTTTTAACGCCGATGGTTGACCTTTTTCTCCTCAACTGACCGACTACTGATCCCAAATGATTTCTGGACCAGTTGTTATAGATAAATAACCATTAGACTCAATTCCTGAGATCAGTTGAATATATCTCGTATCGCACTCTTGGAATTTTGTTTAAAAATCTTACTTTGGAGTCAGTTATATTTTAAAACGAAACAAATTTTTTTTTTCTATCTTACGTTGCATTATGCTAAATGACGTTTGCCATTACGTAACGAAGATCTTTGTATGCCATACTATCTGCCAGTGAGATAGGAATCAAACTTCTATATTTCACTCAGTTTCAAACAGATTGGTATGAATTATATTTCATCGGTAGGTATATAGAAAATAAGCTTTGTAGAAATAAGCGCTCTAAATAGTGACTCGCCGATTAAATCACTACCGTAAATTGTCTTTATATCATTTGCATAATTATCAATCTATAACGGAATCATTAAAAGAGTTTTTATAATTTGAAAGATAAATGAGCCGCGTCACGACAAAACCAACGTAGTGCGTTTGCGACCAGCATGGATCCAGATGCGCTTCCGCGCAGTCTGATCAGGATCCATGCTGTTCGCTTACAAACCCTATTACAAGTAGAGAAACTGATAGTGAACATCATGGATCCTGATCAGACTGCGCGGATGCGCAGGCTGGTCTGGATCCATGCTGGTCGCAAACTCATAACGTTGGTTTTGTCGTGACGCGGCTCAAATGTAGGCGTTTGTTTACAATGTTAGACTATTTATATTTATAATTCGTCAGAACGAACGGAAACAAATATAGACTTAATGAGGATTATCTACATCCGAATTCTTTTGTTTATTTATTTAAGTACGTGACCACAAAAATTACAGAATGAAGAGTAATATGAATATTCATCACTTTTCCGTAAATGTTCGGTTATCTTCGTGACTTTCCGTATCTAGTTTTGGTTCAAAAAGCTTTCGCTTGGCATGATTGTGTAGCTCTAAGTCATACCGACGCTTATTAGATTTATGATATACGGGAACAGGCGAAATGTGCCGATTATTCCCGAAGTTTTAGAAGCTGTATGCCATTCAAATAAACTATTGTCTTTTTATGTAAATTACTGGGGGAAAAAAAGAACAATGCATTTCGCGAAGGAATTATAGAGTGCATTTTGAATGATTAACTATTTAACACATTTTATTGCTTTAAATTTATCTGCGATAATGCTAAAATTTAGATCATGTATTATAATTTAAATGTCAGCAACTAAGATTATTTTAAACCGATTTAGAAACTGATTTGCGTTCACTAATATAGCAATCTTTTAAAACAACAAACAAGCAAACATTAACTTTGGATGAAGACAGAAATTAAGAAACGGTGAAAACGTAAGAAAATACTATTGTCACATACATGGGTGTATTGACTCGGATTCGTATTTATCAAAAGGTTTTTAAGATTTTTAAAGCAGTATTTAAAGCCCTTAGTCATTGGCCATCCGTGAAATTTGTATTCACGAAAAGCCAAACTTATTTTTTAAGCAATGCTGTAATGACGGGGTCTTTTGTACAAATGAAGTGATTTCATACAATCAAATCTATTTAGCGTAAATGTAATCGATGAAACAAGTTAACGAAATGGTTTCTTTTTAAAGTGACACGACTTAATTTGTTCACATTTTAAACCGATGTGCCTTTTGATCTTTAAATTAATGAGCGACAGTAGATCGAGCCTCTATGAATTTTAAAAGACCTTTTTTAACTTTTACATATTTTGCTATAATTTCACAATATGACAAAAAAAGAACGGATAAGTTTTATTACAGTTAGTTTACTTATTCTGTTTATTATAATTATAATAATTATAATTATGATGATGTTTATTATTATTTTGAAATAAAATTTTAAATAAAAATGTTTTACATGACTTGCAGAGAATTTAGGACTTGCCAGCTCGTGGCATTGCTTTCCAGTGTGCTTTTATTTTCAATATGATAAGCTATGTCTCATTTGAACATAACAGAACAGAGTGGCGTCATGACCGAGTGGTGAACGTTTCGGACTCGCTAGCCGCATGAGTTCAAACCCTGACAAGGGCCTTGAGCAAGAAACTATACACACATTGCACAGTACTGGTTGGTTCCAAGAAAGGATTCTAAAGTGTGTTTATATTAAGCTTATAGCTTCCTTCAAAATTGAACTAAAATAAATACTGTATAAACCAACAGAACAGAAGTTATTCAACAAAATTGTCTTGAACACATCGCGCTATCGTCATTCACATATACAAATACAAGTACAGTTGACTGAAAAAAGCTTTATGAGTTAACTGCCTTATGTTTCTATTCTGTAATTTTGAGTTAATATGATCAATTATCATTAGTGGTTAATATTATTACATTATCATCAAAATATGCAATACTTATATACATCTCGTTAACAATGCCCCTCTTATTAATATTATTATTTCTATCAAATGACTGAGTAAAATATCAAAAAACAAATGGGAAATATACTTCTCATAATTGGTTTTTTGTTGCATTTACGAGGGCAATGAAACATGTTTTTTTATAAACTTCATATGTTGATTTGCAACCAGTTTTAAAATGTCATCGAGTCTGTGATGAAATTAAATTCGAAATTACCGTCAGAATTACAAATTGTTTTCGAAGATAACTGGCCATTTATTGCATGCTTTCATAAAAGCAATGTCTCTGTGAAAAAAAGACGCACAAATATCATGGTCAATTTCTATCGTTTTTTCCCCATTATTCAGAATTTTTAGTCGAGAATTCACAATAAGTAACTAACTCAACGTTCGTGACCGCTTTTGGTCTAATACACACTAAGCTTTTGTTTGCTCATTTCTCAATTTATTTAGTATTTAGGTATATAAAATACTCCATGACTTCATTAGTCAAATAGAGACTTATCTAAAAGTACTCTAGTTTACTTGTTATGGGCGAAAGTTAAACAATAGACTTTGTATATAGAATACAATTTTCAGTTTTTATTGTATATCCTATCATTTTTCAACTATTTCAGCTTATTTTGATATTACATGTATATGAAAAGTCAAGCGGTAGACTGAGTATTAATTTGTCTATTTTTAAATACTTATAAGTTTGATATAGAATTTAAACTATTTTATTAAAAAATTTATCAATAAAATAAATACCTGTTTTTATCAATTTGTTTAATAGTAGAGCAGATTGGACCGTTATATACAACTACAAATAGTGGCACAGGTTGAAATGGTACAAACTGTTTCTATTCGGATTTTCGAAATATTTTTATGACATTTATCTTTATAAAAAAACTGTTTACAAACAAAAAAAAATCTTCATATACCCTTATAACTTATACTTCATATAAAATGCCATATGGTCATCTTTGTATTTAACAAACCTTTACAATAGAAAAATTCGAAAGTCTATTTCAAATCGCAATGCCAGGTCGTCAAATTTTAAAAAAGGGGCGCCGGGGTCTGATTAAACAAAATTTTATAAAAACTTCGGCAATTTTTTACATCACGGGGAAACCCCGGAAACCGATTTAAATCTAAACCTTGCGTAGATCATGAATAAAAACATTTCAATGGGTCAATTTATAGCAGTGGATTTACATAAAGAATGAACGGTTTCAGGCCCTGTTAATGCCACCAAATAATGTAGGTCCAAATGTTTATTTTAAAAGTGAATCGGACGGTTGCCGCGGGCATTTAATGACATCCTAGATAAATCAGCCTGTTGTAATTATGCCAGCAAAGAAGTCAGCTGCCAAAGCGAGGGGGAAGGCCAAGGAGTTGGTCCGTGTTGTTGACAACGAGTCACCAACGGCCAGTATCGAGAGGCCGTAGAAGGCGAAAATCAAACAGACATTTGCATGGACATTGAAGAGAAAATTCATGTTTACTAGTATTCAAAAGAAATTCACAAATATATTTTTGAGGAAATTACAACTTCTTCAAGCTGAAATTACAACAAACACAAAGCAGCCTGGTCGCCGGATGACAAAAACGATGACCGCCCGGTGCCTGTACATGAATTCGCCCAGGTACCGGACGATAATTCGTTTGACTACTTGTCTGTATTCAGGCACCGGGCAGGGCCCGGCCGATATCCGCCCGGACGCCTTTTAAATCGGATGCTGTTTTAGTAGAACAAAAAATCGCCCGATCGAAAAATCATCGCCCGGTCGCCGCCCGGCGACCGAGCGATGTCCGCTCGATGATATTTATACTCAGTGACCCCAAAAATTATCGTCCGGCCGCCGTTAACTTTTAAGTATTACTTAAAACTCGAAGGCGCCCGCCCGATGAGCAAAATTTTCAGCTGCTGCCGTCCGATAGTCACTGCCGCCGGACGGACGCCGGCCGATATTGCGATTTTTTGGAGAAACAGACGCCGCCCGGCGGCATTTTCTTATTTGTGACCTAGGCTTAAGTGGAATGCTTTTTTTACCGAAGATACCTTAGAAAGTAAACAATGGACAGGGTTAATCTGACCATCATAAAGTACTTTAAAGATCTTGATGAACATAAATAGACCACTTCAATAACGTCAAAATATAACAAGTTATTACATATATACGACAAAATGTACATACTGGCATTACAAAGAGCACAATTGTTAATTGATCCACGAATAAATGTAGGTCTAAATTGTTTATAATTATGATAAAGTAGTTGTAATCTCCCGGAATAGACCTGGAGGTTTGAGGCGTATTCCGTGCTTGAAGAACAAAGTAAAAATATGCATTGAAAGATGTAGTCCAACTAATTGTACTGCGCGACGAGATATTGTGCTATTTTCGTGTCTGGGCAATATCTCGCCTCTAAAGCGAGATTCTGCCCCAGAACGAAAATATCTCAGAATCAAGCTTTGGCACGTCAATATATTTTGACTATGAAAGATGCCCCTGGACTCATGTACATGGACTATTCCTAATGCGATTATTCTATTAGATCGTAAGTAATTAGAGTAATTAGGCATCCGAAACGAACACATGTTTACTTTTTAAGAAAGGGCAAATATGACTTTAACAACATTTAAATAATTGGTTTTAGAACATGTTTGATGCTTGTTATCTGATGAATGTAGCTATAAATGTGAAATTATTTTCATAAAACAAAATGTAAACAAAGTAGTATTTCGACTTCCATAAAAAATACTAAATCACTATAACTCTTTTATTGCCCAAAAAGCAACAGAAGTAAAAGAATGGTCAGGTAATTGGCCAATATGTATCTTTTTTTGGAAACTAGAGAAGTACACTAAAATAAAAAAAGCTTTTATTAATACTAAAAAATAAAAACATTTCTGGGGCATAATGGGTCTTTAAATGTTTTAATACTCACAATTACGTTACAGTCATCAGCATCGCCTTTCTGAAGATAAACACCAACAAACAACAGTAATTCCAGCAGAAGTCCGAAAATCATCATTTCTCTTTAACCCCAAAAACGATCCAAAATCATATCACTTTCAACTACTATAATCACGTTTTTTCAAATTCCATGAAGAAAAGCTAGTTTTCATAATTATCGTCACCATAACCATAGAAACTGAAATTCATGCGTCAAAAATGGTATAATACATTCAGTTAAGGTTTACATTTATCCCCTGTTTAAATAGATGTCAATCTGTACGACTTTTAACAGTCCTTTACAAACAAAGATTAAACCGGAAGCACCCTTTCACAAATTAACCAGAGTAACTGAATCCAAATGTACGTAAACATGACTTTTCATACGCGCCAGTTCAGTACACGAGCGCTTCACGCGCAAGGTAGTGTTTATTTTTAGATCAGCAGCTTGTAAATGCCATGCTAGTGCTAGTCGTTATTAAATGTCGAGTATAGATATTTATTTTACAAAATAATATAAAGATTTGACTCGACAAAAGTACTTTAAAATTTGAAATGTCATCTCAATTATTTAAACGCGCACGAAAAGTCATTTTAATGCGTGAAAAAAAAAAATAATGCATATTTTTCGCATTATGATGTATTCTTTTAAATGGTCACCATTTTAATAATTTTTTGAAGTTTGCCTTTATTTTTTTTTCGCATGAAGAAATGACTTTTTCTTATTTAAATACATATTTGCATACGCTAACAACGGCGCAGATACAACTTTGTAAAACTTTGAAAAAAATTCCTAAAAAAACAAAAAAACAAAAAACACCAACAACAAAAACACTTTATTTTAAAACTTAAACCAAATGTTTTAATGACAAAAGTGTCATTATTGAAGCACAACATAATCCAAGCGCGTATGTAAATCAGAACACAGAACAAAAACATAAAAAAAATTACTTCCAACTAATATTTTCTTGGGAATAAAAAGAATACATAAACGGATCTGTGCGAATTATATAAAATATTACTATTTTATTCTTTACTAATATATCTGTTCCAAACGCGCACGAACCTTTGTAACTATGAGGGTTGGGAACATGTTGACTCGAGAATTTACTCTTATACATTTGAATGATTTCACTTGGACATTGGAAAGATTTTACTTGGACATTTGAATGATTTCACTTGGACATTTGAATGATTTCACTTGGGCATTTGAATGATTTAATGTTCAAATTTGGCCAATGACAATAATATTTCGGCAAACATGCGTTTCTTATTTCTCTATAAAAAGGGCAAACTAGTAAAAAATGATATTCGTTTTCAATACTACTCATATTACATTTTGTACATATTCTAAGCCTTCTGTCAATATTTCTATGCCTTCCCTCAGTGCCTTATTACTGGTTAGTTATCCAGGTGGACCGACTAAAACCATGTGTCATCAAAAGTGCTGCAGCACTGAATGCGACGGACATGCAACCGGAGAGACATTAAGGCTTTTTTTAAGAAAAAAAAACAACACAAAAGATATAACAGAGAAAATTTGTAGAGCAATATATTTTATGTGTCCCAATCTGATATAATTCAGATTTTCTACTTTCAAGCAGAACAAGTCCAAATTTTTAAAAACAGAATGAAATTTATGCCTAAAAACTCTGGTCAAACTTGTAAATCAGTGTCCTTATCGATTTATTCCAAGAAATGATATGTAAATTGAAAAAAAAACTGTCAACGAAATATTTCTAAAATAAAACCATGCAAATAAACTTCAATCATAATACATGTACATGTGAGAATGTTAATTAGAATTGCTTCGTGTTATATCATAGTGGGCATATAGACAATAAAATATAAGTCATTTGTATTTTTATTTCTCTTGGATATGTCTCATTAAAAATATTTTAGGTTAAAATCATCAGCAATTAATGGTGTTTTTTTTAGATTTTTTTTTTCATTTACGTCACTTAGGCACTGCAGTGTTTAGTTTTCCCTTTCAATTTCACACTAAATTCCATTCTCAACTTGTTTGCTTCTTACAATTGTATAGAATTTCTTAAAGTATTGCATGTAAACAAAGTAAATATCCGCTGGTTTATTACATGTATAATGTGTACTCGTCCGAAAGTCAGCACAGATGATGCAGAATCTATTTTTAGAATAGTGTTATCTTCTAGCAGGTTAACTCATATCGTGACCTAGAAAACTATGTAAACAAAACACAAGAATCGGAAGTAGAACTGATATTATAACTTCCTTCAATAAAGATTACCATGAAAGACTACATAGTCGTAAATTGTTGAAAAACTCCCTTTTTACAGGCATTTTCAAAAATAGATATTTATAATACTAACCATTGTACTGTAGTTTAATTTATTAATAACTGCTGGATATTCAGCTAAACCCGCAGTATGAGTCACGAAAAGAGTTCTTCTTTTACTAATGCGCGAGTTATTCTAAAGTCACGAAAAACTTTTGATCTGTTAATAAAAATGTTTTGTTTAATGGGGAAATATTTATTTCCTGCTTATAATTTCTATGAATTATTGACCTTACTCCTTAATTATAGCATAATTTGCTGTCCTACTTTTTCGACAGCAGTAAATCGTTTCAGCAGTTATTTGCATAATTGCGCAATAATACTACGGGGCTACAGCGTTTTTATCAATCAAATACGTTTATATTTTAACTTGGATAACTTAATTTGAAATTGAAAAGGCTAAATATGGAAGTTTTTAAGATATCCCGACGAAGTATGGGAGTTTCATAGGATCAAATTCATGTACTATTTCGTGGGCTGTTATTCGGTTGAGGACACATTGCGCGATTGTAGCCGACGAAATCCCATGTGTAGATGACATAGCTCTGAACGCGCCTGAGGGCGCGTCCGTCGCAAAAATCGGCGTAAAAGACAAACAAACAAAAACAAACATATACAGTTATTAACCGCTTAGAAATTATTTTTCGGGTTGACCAAAAAAGTACATTTTGTATTATTAAATATCTTTCAAAAATCTCAACTCAACTCAAATCAAAACATCGCATTTCGTATTTTGTGTAGCGCAAGAAACTGATTTTTTCGACAAATTTTTACACGCACGTGGACAGATAAGTTTGTAAAAGTCTCATTATAGATAATAGCATATACGACACAGATAAATGCCATATAAGTAAAATCAGAAATAAGGCAAACATCCATTTACTGTTTGTTCTTCAGATTAAAAAAAATCAGTGGCAGTTTGTATTCTTAACGAACAGTTTAAATCGGATTTGAAGGCAGTGGGGAGGGGGATAGTTTATATTTTTTGTCCCACATTGACAATGAAGAAAGCATGTTGTTTTTTGTAATTGTTGTTTTCTTTCTTTCTTTTTCTTTTTTTTCCTTGTTTTTTTTTTTAACTTAAATAAACTTTATTCAAACGACAATGTACTTAACATCTGCGAACCAGTGTCCCGTTAGATTGGTTTACTACTATTAAACAGATCACTTTTCAACATTTAGTCACTGTCCTAAACTGTATCATATTTCAATGTATTATGTATCTTTTTAACACATCATATTGAACTTTAACGCTCGAACAATTTCGCTAAAAGTTAAGTCATTATCCGCTTTAAATGGTGTAAAAGCAGATTTCTATCATAGTTGTTATAACGTAAAATTAACTCTTTCTCTTGAAGGTATCCGTTCGAAATCGCTTCGTACAATTACGGTCAAAACCGTTCATTTCCGTTCTCATTGAATCATTTGTTCGTTCGTTCAATCGTTTATAAATGAAATTTATTTATTTTTTTTTTATTATTTATTTCTTTATTTATTTATTATGATGATTCTGTTAATATCAATACCCAAAGCAAATTTGTTAAAGATCCTGTATGCTGTGATCAAAGTGGTTAACCATACTAAGTGAAATTATATATATGTATACATATTTATGCAAATATATCAATTTTCAAACATCGAAGAATATATTAAATATGTACTGCAAATATTTGTACATATAAAAGTATGAGCATTTATTTATTATTATAAAATTTGACTTAAACTTAGTAGAAAATAAAATTCTAATAACCTCCCTTTATTTACATGAAATGTTAAATTCGGTAATATCTTTTTAAATAATGCTTTATGGAACCTTCAATATTGATAAATCTTAATTTGAGCATCATATTTATGATTTAAAACCATAAAAAATTGTGTTACAGGATCTTTAAAAGGCAAACTAATGACCAGAAAATCAAAAACAAGTTTACATCCGGTTTTGATTTTTTACTTTTATTGTGGAACAATGAACCCGTAAGGCCACCCACTTCTATTACAACAAAAATCTTAAGAAAATGACAGTTTAACCCTTAGATTATATCGGGGTAAAAGTGCTGCCAATTGATTTACAGCAAAATTATTTTGTTGATTTCAAACAAAATTACATGACAACCACCATGAAAAAATCAAAGTACAGAAGAACAGAACGGCATGCTATCTGTTTCTTTGTTTCACAACATTGTGTTATGTAAGAATGTCTTTATTTAGACAATTTGATTGTTACAGTATGCGTTTCTGTATTGAAATAAAAGGAATGCTGGAAAATATTGTGAAAATGACTAAGTACGATCATTTAAATTGCCGATGTAATAATTTCTTAATGACACAGTAAGCCTAAAATTAATACAATTTTTGGTTTCTTCTTGGTCACGGCACCAAATCGTCCCTTGTAGTGTAACGCCCAGATCTGAATAACTCAATATTAATAAGTCAACACAATATCAAGTTTATAAACGTCAGATATATGAGCCGCGTCACGACAAAACCAACATAATGGGTTTGCGACCAGCATGGATCCAGACCAGCCTGCGCATCCGCGCAGTCTGATCAGGATCCATGCTGTTCGCGAACCAACCCTTTTAAAAGTAGAGAAACTGATAGCGAACAGCATGGATCCTGATCAGACTGCGCGGATGCGCAGGCTGGTCTGGATCCATGCTGATCGCAAACGCACTATGTTGGTTTTGTCGTGACACGGCTCATATGTATTTATTCAGTATAAGATATTATTCTATAAAACAATTGCTTAATCAGTGTCTTTAATAATTTCACAATTCTTAAACAAATACGTAAAGCAATAAGAATTAATGTCAACTGCGTATTTAGCATAATTTAACCTGAGTGAGTGAGTCTATTTAACATCAAAAACTACACTGGCGAATGTAATATTTTGCTTACCTTAAGTAGTACAAGTAAAATGGTTTCCTGCGGGGAACATTTTTGATGATATAAAGATATTTCATTTAACTATCTTCAACATTGTTTGGGTGGGTGGACAAATTAATAACGTTTCAGGAATATAGTTGACAATAATCGATCAATATAGAAGAAGGTCTTTGGAAA